TGGGTAACACACCTCCTTGACGCAATTGCAGGAAATAAAACACTCTTTCTCGGCATTTCTCTACATTCAAACGGCTGAGTAACGGCGCGCGAATCTTTATCGTAAAACGTCGGCTGAATCGACGCGGATAACAAGAGATTCATCATTCGCAATCTGCATATCGATTCATAGCTGAATACAGCGAACAACTAGATTCTTGGCGAATAAATAAACGAAGAGGGAGAAACATTTCGAGACAGAGAAACGTGTGATTTTTTTTTTTTTTTTTTTTTTTTGTCGACTCAGCGCTGTATGATCAGCATAGCTTATCACGTCGCGCATTATCTCTCGACGATCCATTCGACGAAGTCTTTATACGCGATCGTCGCGCGTGTTATATTCATCGCATATGAAGGCTTTTCCGCTCGTCACGTCGCAACGTCACACGATCACGAATTCATGACTAATGCCGGCAATCGGACAGTCCGGTACGATGTGTGCGCGTAAAAGGCACGAGTAAAAGCAACAGGACCTGATCAACAGGCGAAGACACGCGCCATCGAGCACGCGCCGATAGATCTGACATCTCGACGCCCGACGCCATACACGTGACCGGAGGCTCGTTACCCGCGACCATCCTCCTTCTTCTCTCCCCTTCCACCTCCGGCTAATCCACCTTCTCTTCTTCTCCTCCATCTTCACCCCCGTGGAGGCCTCTTCCCGTCGGAAGACACGCGCCCGACGTCTCCCCTGATTTCCCAGAATCGATCTTCGGAAGATCGAATCGCCCCGCGCCGCTCGAATCCGAACGACCCACCGCCGATTGGCCCACGAGAGTTTCGTGGATCGGTCGTCGAACCGACTTCCCTTCTCTCTCTCTCTCTCTCTCTCTCTCTCTCTCTCTCTCTCTCTCTCTCTCTCTCTCTCTCTCTCTCTCTCTCTCTTTCTTACTCTCGACAGATTCACGATGCCAAGATGAATGGCAAAGTTAAGGAGCGCAGACCGAGATGGTGAAATCTGTTAAATGCTTGTAAACCCTCCTCGTGGCAAGCGGCATCTCCGCGCGATTATCTTCCTAGCATGGAACGATCGAGTTGCATGACGGGCTGGGATGTAATCCTTTTTAAACGATTCTAATTGCTATCTATCTGAGTGTTAAGAAAAAAAAAATCTCTCAAATGTCTTAGCAATTATAAATTTAATAACTTTTGCACTTGTATTGCAAATATTATCAACGTAACAACGATCTTGGGCCAATTAACGCGAGGTTCGCGTTCACCGCGGGGCCGCGGTCTCGTAACACTCCCGCCACAATTACCGTACGCGCGAGAAACGAGTCAGATGACCCCGGGGGCGAGATCTCTGCATCTCGAAATCCCATCTTAATAACGAAATCGCGCCGTCGCTCCCAGCGGGCTCGCCGGTCGAGGCGGGCGACCCGCGGCTCAACGGTGAGAAAGAAAAAATTTAGGCCAGGGAAGAGCGTTCCCTAAGTTTAAAAGGGGTATTCCTCTCGCATACCAGGCGGCAGCGAGCGGATCCCACGGGAGAGGAGAGACCGGACCGAAGAAGAAGAGAGAGAGAGAGAGACACAACGACGACGACGACGACGACGACGACGACGACGACGCCGCGCCACGACGACGGCCACTAAATATTGTGTTCGCGCAGAGAATACAGCTCTCGGGACACGTGTAAGCGGGGCCGCGGGATTCCGTATGAGCAGATCGGCCCGCCGATTATACGCTAATTCAACGCAAATTCCTTCCCGGAGATATCTGTATCGCTCGCATACATCAGCGCAGAGACCCGCGGTAGCTGCGCTGCCGTTGCTGCCGCCCGTTGCTGCTTGCTCCCTGCTCCTTCCTGCCCTCGCTGCCGTTGTTGCTGCCGCCGCCGCCGCCGCCGCTGCTGTTTCTCCGCTCCGGTCCTCGTCTGAACCGCCCGCGGTTCTCCCAGGCCGGCTTAATCAGTATCCACGGGAAGACAACTATATAGTCGTGGCTTACGTAGTTTCGCGCACATGTGGCGTGCATACGTCGTCACGGAGACATTCGGTCCCACGGAAGAACTGGTGGAAGTGTCGGGAAGGAGATGCGGTTCATTGCGAGAAGAGAATATTTCCGAATGAGATCGGTGATGTTGCTGCTGAGCTTCTCCCGATCGAGCAAGTCCGATTATTTCGAGATCTCCTTCACGTGAAAATACACTAATTGGAATTTGTCGACAAATTTATACACGTCTCGCACATGGATATATATATATATATATTCCAGATTTTATTAATAGTATGTAAATATAGTAAAGAAAGAAATTTAAAAAAAGCGCAGCATCCGCATCTTACCGAGCTACAATGTGACACTCTCGAGAATATTTGTATCTTGACGTTTGAGCGTTTTTGACGCGAGCGTGGTCACGGTCGGTGGTCATCTCGAATTATGTTAACGTCACGACGGTCTCAGCGCGTGTAGCAGATTAATTAAAACTCTAATTAAAACTTGGGCCCACTCGGTACGATGCTACTAATTATGTAACGTGTCAAAATAAAACACACACGCACAAGGCGATTGTTTTGTTTTCGTCGCTGTGCTTTTTCTTCGGCACATGATGAAAAGATGACGAGGAAGCGTAATCGCGCGATCGGGCGTTATACTTCGATCGCGCGCTTTCTCACGCGGTTTACGGAGTCGGTCGCGAGGAAGGTTAACGCCGCGCCGCGGTTGGAAAAGAAACAGGCTACCGTACACCCACGGTATGTAGCCGGTACTCCGGCCGAAGGTCCGGGGCAGAGGACCGAAGATATATCACGTTGTCGGCCGACATACCATTCTTTTGCGGCGCGGCGCGCGGCCGACACCGCGCGGCAGCAGCATTCACAAATTAAGGAGCGCCAAAGTCCACGGCGGCGCGCGGCGTAGGTATGGCGCTATCGCGCTTCATAAAACTTCGTTAGCACGCCCGAGAACGGGTGGAAGGGGGGAGGGAGAAGTAGACGTCCGACGACCCGGTCCCGTGGTTATACCCACATAAGCGCTGATGGCCCCGCGAGACCACCGTAAAAATTCATTTTGCACCTCGGCCGTGTAATTCAGCCGGATTCTTGCATCTTCACCCAGCCGGGGCCAGCGGAGCGTATTAGATGGACCATGTCCGCGCACTTCGCGGTTAATGACTTCGCTCGGACTGCCGCTACGCTATGCGCGGTACGTTTAATAATTGTACAGCGACAGCGCGCTCTTAATTATCCGCTCGTATACGCGCGAATTCCGTGTGCTTCACTCTTTCTATAATCCGTATAACGTTATAAATAACGTTATCTAATTACAAGAGAAAATTTTGACAAATTGTTCACGCAACTACGCACTAAAGAAAGGGTGAGTTCGTTGTATTTAAATTTTAATTTTCGATATTGCGACAAGTTAATTAATTAATTAATTTTTTTTTTTTTCAAACACGCGCAATTGACAACTTATCGGATTAGTAGATATTTTTTTCAACATTATTAGCACCACGTGGCGACATAATGTCACGCGAGTGTGTCGTGCACGTCTCCGTGCGTCGTTCGTTAATTTGCCGCGGAGACCGCGCATATAAAATGAGAGGAAAGACTCGCACAAGGTGTACTCTACGCCCTCATACAGAGGCTTGCCACGTGTGGCGGACGTACGTGTTTACCTCACGTACACGCTCGCGCGGGCGGGCGGGCTAGCGCGTGGTTCCCGTCATTAGGTACGTTAGCTTCGTTAGAATGAGTTTTTTTCCCCGTTCGCTAATGAGGTGGTCCGCGACTTGCAGTCCGCCATGGGGGAGAGAGAGAGAGAGAGAGAAAGAGAGAGAGAGAGAGAGCGGCCGGCTATGTACGTGGCGTACCGGCTTGAAGGGGGGACAGCTTCTGCGACGCCCTCCGCGCGCGAATCTGGAGACCGACACTATTTTTAATCTACCCGCGGGATGCGGACTTGATGGAATTAAAATGCATGTCCCGTTACACGGAGGCTTGCTTACGCCGTCGCCTCTACGCGAAAAACGTGTATCCCTTTTAGAGCGCGTCCCCTCTAATCGGGGGGTTCGCGAGTGTGTCGCGTTAATAGCTGACGTCACGCTATGGTTTGGTGATTAATTCTGGATATTAATTTTGACCGCGCGCTGGACCAGACCTCTCATATGGCCACGCGGTTTGGGGCGGCGTATATACATTCGATAGCCGAATGTACGACGTGGATAATTGAACGCGACTGTGATTAAGCAACTGCAAGAAATTCCGAACGATATTATGAATCGTAGCGTATTTCAGAAAGAAATATGTATTTTTTATATTTTTCAGAAAAATATGGTTTTGAAAGTGCATCTTAAGCGCGATATAATATTATCATCAATTTTTTCTCTTCTTAAGTTCTTATTTTATACATTTCTCACTATTGTAACTTTTTCTCTTTTTTTGTTTTTTACTTCTTCACAGCATTTAATTCAGAAAACACTCGCAAACGTTATCAGCCACTATCAAGCCAGGGAGTTTCTATCTCTGTGATTCACTGAAGTTTCTAAGTGGAAATTATTCAAGCTCGATCTATTTGCTCTTTCCGGCCTTCCTCGAGCCGTACTAACTTCTCTTCACTCCGACGGTAATCGACTGCCAGCCGGGATCTTCCTCTCTCGAGTTCCGCCCCGACGCGGGCGACGGTTCCTATTCATTCAGCTCGTCCCGGGTTGACACCCGGTCGTTGTCGTCGCTTAATTCGCGAATATTTCACCTCACGCGTCATCCCGAAAATACGCTACAGCTGCTCGCTTGTCGTGTCTACAATCGGGCCACCTTCGGCACACTCGCCGTCGAAAAAAAATCCGCCGGTCGGCTCATAAATCTTCGCGCTGATACATTTTTACTTATCACGTTCCCATCGCGCGAGCATCCTCTCGTCGTGGTCGCATAAAACTCGCGCGCGGCATTCCCTCGTCGTTCGTCGCACGATTTTAAACGACCGACGAACGAATTATCACCCCCGTCTTTCTTCGTGTTGCAGACGGCTTTGCATTGGAGCGCAAAACACGGTGACGAGAACATTGTTAAATTGATAGCCGGCACCTACAAGGATTATATCAAGAGCGTCAATGAGACCACGGTGAGTAGTATTCTTACATATGGTGTACTCATAAAATTAATGTCGGAATTATAAAATGTAGCATTGTGGTAGAACAGAAATAGCTCACGTATAAGAATATTTTATGTTGTTTGCGAGAGAGAAAAACAATGTAAGAGATAGAAGATAATTTTTAATTTCGTATGTATTTTTTTTCCGATCACTGGATACTGTCATTGGATGCCGCAGAATGGGGTAAGTGTCTTGTTTTTCGTTTTAATTAAACACTCTTTTTGTTTTTTTTTTTTTGTTTTTTTTTTTTTTTATTTAAAAATATTGTAATTGATCAAGATTTACGTATTAAAGTAACATTCGAAACAAGATAAGTCCCTATTTCGTACGTCGATGACTTTTTTATCGAGATCAAGATGAAGCGTATCGAATACACTCGGATAACATCGAGAGCGAGTATCCTCGGCGGCCTTTGCCACGCGTATAATTTGCCGGACGTACGGGAGATCGCGGGATCGGTTTAGGGGGCGAATCGTTGTAAGAGGTAGAACAAACGGAGAGTCAGTCGCGTAGCAGAAAGGAAGGAAGACAGGAAGAAAAGAGGAAGGACAGAGACAGGCGAGGCGCACAGAAAAGCCCTGTAGATAGGATCGGATGTGTGTGGTCCTGCCGCTTTGCTCTTTATAAGACTTATATAAGCCGGGAGTGCTTGAGCAGAGACGCCAAGCGGGAGGCAAGTACTTGGAGAAACAAAGAGGAAAAACCAGGTCCTTGCTCGTTAAGCCGCTCGCGACAAAACTCTTGCCCCCGCTCTTACGCTGGACAACAAAATTGCTTCAACTTTCTTTCACAGCCATTGAATTGTGTACAAAACTACACTTCTAACAAAAAAAAGTCTATTAGTTTCAGATTTTCAAACATGGTGAATACAGTATTGCAGTTTTTCACGAAAGTAAATTTTTATACCGCGTAAGCAATATTAATTTTAAGAGTCGAAATTAGTGGAACTGTAACAACTTTTTGAACGAATCGAACTATATCCTTCAAAGAGATATTAAATTAAAATTTTAAATTTGAAGTGTATAATTTACAAGGAATATATATAAATTATATCTTTTTGTTACTTTTGTTTGTCACGCAGTTTCTCTTTACGCTCGATAGATTTGGTTTTTTTGTTTTTCCCAATGTAATACGATTTCTGTCGACATCTCGCTTTACTTTTTTGCGTTTTTGTTCTTTTTGTTAAATTTTTTTTTTTTTGTTTTTGCTCTAAACTCTAAAATTAACGACAACATCACCAGTAATATTTTTTTACGTTCATGTCCTAATAAAAAATTTCACGTCGCACAACATAAAAACGTAAATTACATTATTTCTCGCGAATAACTTTAAGAATATAAATTAAAGAAAATGTATATAAGGATAATTTGCATATACGCGCACATATAATATGTAAATATTATGTGCATACACGCGTCTCTATTTTTGTATCTTCCCCAATGACAATCCCTAACTCGATGCTGCCGGGGATTAACGCCGGATATAATGAATACGGTCGTGCTCGTGTACGTACCGATGTAGAGTAGGTAATCCACACCCGGACGAGGGATCTGTCCTCGGCGAATCCTCCTCGCTCTGCTTTTTTTTTTTTTTTCACGACGCGGCTTTAGGAGCAGACTGCGGATCGCGCGGCGCAGAGCGCGGCGTAATCTGTCACCGGCATCGCTCCCGCGCTCCGGTGCTTTTCTACAGCTTATCCCGAGCACCGGCTTTTCCCCAATCCCACGGCAAATGAAAGAACGTAGGAAAACAGTAAAAGAAAAAAAAGCACACGATTACCCGGTAGTCTCGTAACGCGCGCGCAAAATCATCGCCCACATACGAAGGCAAGGTGATGCGATCTTATATTCGCGATGATAATAATTGCGAGCATCGATATAACAGTTTCTCTTTGAGATTGCTGGAAATTCGAAAAATGAAAAGATCTCAGAAAATTGAAAAAGGTATATTTGCATCGATGTTTAAAAAAAAAAAACTGTTATTGTTATTTTTATGCGGATCGTTATCTTGCTGAAAAGTCATTCGTGGCTTTATTTTTCTTCTGATCTGACCCATTTGTCACTCTCGGATTTTCAAACTTCGGTATTTTCGACACAGCCAAATGTTTCTCGTTGCAATGAACATCGCGTGTGCGATCTGACTGATGATGCTTTTAGTGTGAAAAATCATAGGGCATTTGTTCCGCTTTTTCGAACGCGCGTCCCGCAGCCGCGGCGGCTGTTTTGTTTGCTGGTGGAGAACGAGCTCTTACTTATCGTAAGAATTCGCCGCGGTTTCGCCGCTTTACGTCTTTTTTAATCCCCGGACGGCGTTAAAACGGGCGCGCCTGCCCGGACAACGGAGGCGGATCGCTGCAGTCACCGGACATAATCTGTCACCGGTACCGCTTCCACCGTGGTTTTCTACGGCTTATCGCGGCATCGGCTTGCATTTAATCCTCGCAAAAAACAGTGGCCGCATCTCCTCGTCCCTCCTCTTCATCGGGGGCGGGGGGGGAGGAGGCCTCGTAAAGCCGCCCGTGTGGCGCCTGCATCTTTCCTGGGCGCACGACAGCCAGCAACAATGGCGATCTCGCTCCCTTTTAGGGGTCCGTAGACGCGACCGGAATTTGCTTCGTGCAACGGGTGATCTGTTCGGAACACAATCTCTGATTAGGAGCCGAGTTTGTTGTTTGAAGTGTCAGAGAAAAGAAATCTAGAAAATATTCTTATTGGGATATATTGTGTGCTTTCTATATAATACATAATATATATAATAATTAAATAAATTTGTCTTCCTCATATTTTGTGTAAAACATGTTTTTTTTTTTTATTGTGAAGCATAAAAATTTTCCGATATTGGATAAAACTTGAATTAGCTTCGTGTGTTCCAGAGTATAACTCTCTGAAGTTTCAGTATACAATACATAATGTACATAATTTTATCTCTCTCTCTCTCTCTCTTTTTTTTCTCTTTCTCTTTTATCGCTTGAACTGCAACCGTTGAGTTAAATCATTGAAATTCTATCACGCGCGAAATATACGAGGCATGTAAAAAATGACTACACAATAGATCGCGGGAAACGATATTGCTTTTCCTACTGATTTCCGAACGGTTCCATGTCGAAGAACAGAGATATCTTCGAAACGTGCGGGCTCTTCCCCCCCGATTTTCTTCACCCTTCTAGAAAGAGCGGGAGAACGAAAGGTGCCGTTATGATATAGCGGCTCGTAAAAGGCGGCCCGCCCGTAGGAAAATATTAAAATTGAAAATCCTCAACGGTGATATACGCGTGCGTGATATTGGTGGCCGGCAGCTGTCCTGTTTCTGTAGACTGCTGCGAGAAACGTGAAAGAGCGAGAAAGACAAACGAAGAGGTGGGACAGGAAGGACGCGTTAACGCGAGTAGGCGTATTTGAGAGAGAGGAAACGGACAGAAACGAAAAGAAGACGAAGTGGCGGTAGGGGCGCGATATTGTCTCGAGAATCTCCGTGTGCCGGGACATTGCTACTTTAAAATATCGTCGCGAGCATAAAAAGAGGGTCTTTGCGCGTATGTATCTCCCTATGTACGGGGTGTTCCCGAAGTCGCTCGCTTGTAGAATTAGCACCGCAAATCTAGAGGATTAGGCTGTCAGTAAATTTTTTAAGATGCATTTTCCGAGATTATTATTACAATTCATTGTTTCGCGCAATGTATAATAATATATTCGTTTAAAATTGCAAATCAAAGTAAAGTTTAAATCTGCTTGACATTATTTCAAATATTATAATACACATCATCGCTACACAATATTTTCTTAAAACTTCGGTTAGGGTTCAGCGATCTCGAGCGTTATCGATATTTAGACGTGTTTAGGCAACTAATCGTCTCCCAAAAGATACGGAACACACGAAGAGTGTGCTACTTGTGCGACACCTCGTGCATGCACATCCGCGTACGAAAGGATGCGTGAGGGTGAGTGCGTGAATCGGGCAAGAGGGTGTCGCGCCACTTGTCGCGAGGACACACGTGTCGCATGCTATTGGAGCCGAAGCAGCGGCAAAAGGGTGACGCGCCAAGTCCACCCCGTTTTCTATTCTATATGTGACCGTACATATAACGTTGTGACTTTTTCGCGTCTACCTATAGGAACGGGGACTTTAAAGTGAAATAAATTAGACATTTCGAGGGGGAGGTGAATCGGCGCGCGATCCGACCAACCCTTCTCCATATCGGCCTGCCGTGGCAAGGGTGCGAGAACGCGAAGGGTGCGTTTCGATAACTACGATCGCGGTTTTGACACATTTGTCACTATCGTTTATTGCGCAGTTCGATATTAAACGCCACGATATAAACTTGCGCCGTCGTTCATGAACCCGGGCGCGATGGGACGATTTTTTAATCGCTTTCGTAACGCGACCAAATGTCGCGCTCGGCAAAACGATGTATCTCGAGGGTGATTTTAATTGAGGGTAAAAGCGTTGTACAGATTCAAATCGGACCCTTTTGTTACGCATTTTTCTGCCACGGGTTTTGTACATCGACGACAGAGCTCATAATGTATTACGATTATATGCGTACCGCAAATAGAATTGAAAACGAAGCGTGTTGCACATCCCGGCAAATTTAATTCTCTAAAAGCTTTTTTCTTTTGAAATTGTGCGTGTAAAGTTTTTATATTGCAGTAAATTTGACGATATTGACATTCTTTAAAATTAGAAGAAATCTCTTGCAAACACTTTTTATTTGTTAAAAAAATTATAAGTGCATTGAGTTGTTTGAAAAATGCGCTTTTTTAAATGAAACTTCACGTCTTATCGTATTGATTCGCATAATTTAAGCTTCCGTAAATGCTCATATACGATGCTGTTCGATGTTTTTTAATATCTGTGCGATGTGTATCTCGTGTACATGTCTCGGACATGTTGCCATCTACGATTAACGTCACCCGTTGAAGAAAACGCCATGAACAACCCAAGTACTTTATTGTTTGGAAGAAGCGATACGCGTCGGTACGTTTTTGACGCACTTGTTTTTTTTTTTTTTTTTTTTTTTTCTGTCTTCGTGCGCGCGATCTCTGCATATTTTATGTATTTTTAAGTGGATCATCCGCATTTTCACCTCCGCCGGGTAATGACTCGTGCACGCACACAATTACGCGCAATTTGTCGTACTTATCGAGGCGAGTATCGTGACCGCGGCATACATGGTACACCGCACTCTTTCACGAACGCTAGCCCACGGCAAGAATACGGTGTCCCTGACCGTTCGTACTTTTCACCGTAGATACTGTCTTGTACATTTTGTCGAGGCGCACAACATGTTCGAAAGACTTGTCGAGCGATGAATACCCTTTCAAATTGGAAAACAATGCGATGTGACGCATTATTTCGGTGCATTCAAAACTTATTGAATCTTTTCCTACGTCTTGTCAGTTTGTTTGTTTGTTTTTTATTTTTTTAATATTGTTCTTTTGTCATTCATGAAGATGTCTCTCAGTGCGCCGTTAATACTTGATTGAGGATTGATTTAAATTTAGATTCGTCGCTCAAAAGAGACGGGAATTGGTCTCTCTCACAAACATCCTATGCATCGCAGCGCTTCGTATTTTGCATACCTTAATCCAAGGCCGCGCTACTTTGTCGCTTGGCCGGCTCTTCTCGGTCGATCGGCTTTCAGTAACTTTTATCTAAATTAAACCAGTTTCCCTCTCGCGGAGAGAGTAAGAGAGATACGCGGAGCGTCTCGAAAGACGAGAACATTAACTTATACGATCACATAGGTAATATAAACGTGGGTTCTATACATTTAATTTTTCTTTTACTTAAAAAATAGATATTTTATCCGATAAGTACAGATGAACGTGACATATCTTTTATTTTACTCGTGAAATGTTACGAACAATTAATAAAAGGCATTTATTTTTTTAATTATTACAACCCGTTTGGATGATGTGATTATAATAATTCATATATCGCGAGTGCTATTACGATTAACACGATACTATTGTTTTGAGTGAATTGTCAGCCGCGAGCGATGGAATTTACGTATTTGTATATTATCTTGGTAAAAGCGAGCGAGAGCCATCGGGGCAATAGCAGCTGTTACTCGACGCGCTGGAAAAGCAGCTTTTTTTTCACCTGCCCAAGTCGAACGATACTAATTGCGAGATAACGTTCTTTTAATACTTCTGCAACACACAAGCGAGTACGTACAACCACACAATGCCCTGGAGACCTGACCGCGATGAAAATGTAAAACTTTGCACATACTTGTGATAGGTAATTCACTTTTGTAGATTAGTCAGATAGCATTTTCTGAAACAGTTGTTTCTTTATTGAGTTATTTCATACGAGATGAATATAATCGTAAAACAAAACACGGACTGCAAACTTACCATATACTCACCTCTGTTATTATTTCCGACACAAACATTTATATGTCAGGTGTAGAGTTTAATTAACTCAATAATGTGTCGCCAATAATGGCTGCTCATTTGTGCGTATAAATTTTAATTTATGCGAATCACAATTCAAATATATTTTATAATAAAGTAAATCCAATATAACATATCTATAAGTCACACGTTGCGTTACCACATTTGGCTTTTAATTTTAAACGTTGAATCTTAGCGCCAGTCGAAGTCCTTCATCTCTTACGCGGACAATCATCTACTGTCTATCCGACACAACGCCAGTTTCGAGCGCATTGTGTTCGAACGGGAATACGGAAGATTCACACATAAGAGCCGGATGAAAGTGCATGCGTGCAAGGGCGATAGGGGCGATGCACGCGAGGCTAGTTTTCGCGGCATCGCCGTTTCGCCGTCCCCTGCACGCACGCACGTGATTGTTTCGGATCGCGCCGTTGTCGCGGAAATGCGAATTCGCACGCTCGAGGTGATATTCATAATACGATGCCATTAATTACTCATTGTCTCTGCGACGGCAACGCGCGCTATCACCCTTTCTCTTTCGCGCTGTTTTCTCCCCTTCCATCCTTCGTTACTGCGTACGTCGTTGTCTTGTTCAGTCGTAAAAGCACACGGCAAAACGCATCCGAGCAAATCGTAATAAGATATGCAACAACGTCGGTACTTATAGCTAGAAAGGTGTGATACGGCTTCTCTATTATTTTTCATCCCGCCTTATTATGATTTCCTTCCAGCGAGAAAAAGAAAGATTGGCGTATCCTTCTTTGTACGGGACGCCGGAAACGGCGGATCGCGTCAGACGGGTGTATGCGTGTACAATTAGAGATACATTATTCATTAAACAACACCGTGTAGACTCCGAGAAGAATATATCTGTAATATATTAATAACGCGCATCCTTGCGTCAACGTGAAAGCACGTGAACATTATATCCGCGCGCTAACATTACACGCTCGTCAAATTGAGAGATATATTCCTTCGCTTTTAATTTGCTCAATTATCGATACGCTCTTCTTACTCTTGGTTGATATAATTATTATAATCACATTTAAACGCCCGCTACGTTTAACAGTGGAAAGATGAAAGATAACGTCCATTATTTTCTAAACGATTCAGACTATCTTACCTTCTCGTTTGGACAAAAACAAAAAAATAATTCTCTGGTTACTTTATAGGGTTACACAGCGCTACATCTCGCCATGCAATTCGGCCATGAGAACATATTCAATCTCTTGGTTCAAGTGTACGGTGAGTGCGCATTTTTGTTTTCGGAGACTGTAATATATAACGTAATACAAAAATTACGCAATTGTAAATTCTCATTAACGGATATTGATAATACATTTTTAGGCGCGAATCAGGAGATACGTGATCACAGTGGTAAAAAAGCCCGACAATATCTAGCCTCACAAGAGGCGGCAGTCAGCCAGGACACGTTTCACAGTAAGTATTTTTGTTTCCACGAAAATACGAGACAAAACACATTGGAACAATATAATATTGTAACTTTGATTGATCAAAATGATCTATCAATTTGTATCAGTTCGTTCGTTAGAAAGATTTATAAGTTATTTCTCTTTTTCATTTTTTCCCTCAATTTTTACACGAAACAAGATTAGTTCTGAGAACTTTTTCTCTTCAAAGTATTTTAAAAAAATTGAAATAATTTGCATAACACAAAGTAGAATATAACATAATCGTCTGGAAGTTGTAAAACTTCGCGTTTTCCCCGATTTATTGCTGTAAATTAATTACTCAGAAGAACATTGTTTACGCTTGCGAGTGTGACCTCACGTTGAAATTCTCTCGCTTTCTGTCGTGTATCTCTTCCCGATAGTCGTTTATTGTGTTCTCCCAATTCATTTTGCGACATTTGCCTGTCGCAGATTCATCGATTGAATTGTATCGATAAGTCCGCTCTATATATTCTGCTTGATCTTGAAGATTGCATGAAACGATATTGTTAGTAGCATGAGCTGATCAATTAGACACGTTCATAGAGACACTTATAGTTAGGTTCATTTATTTCTGCACACGTACTAAAATTTGCACGTCTATCAGCATCCTTGCCTTAAAATATCGCTATATAATTGAACTCTTAGCTAGCATATGTGTTACCCCCCCCAACAATAGTGTAACCGACAACATCTTTCTCGGGATATCATGTAGGAAATATCTTTCCGCCGCTTTTTACACACGCCCTTTTTAGATTTAATGATGTGTAGAACAGAGTAAATATGTGTGAGACGCGATATCTCCGAATTGTCTCGGCACGGAAATGGCTACGGGCTCTATCCTCGGTGAGTACTCCGGGGTTCTGGAAGTATTCTTCTGTTGTAGGGATTACTGCTGCCGCTACGCTCAGGCAAGTTCAGAAGCACACCTCTGCTAAAGTAGTAAAGCGCTTGTGTCGCAAGATTAAAGTACGTAGGCGCACCTTAGAGTAACGTATGACTGTCACTTTTCTGCACTTCTTACGTGAGTATCTTGAAGTTTCACGGGGACTTCGTCTCGCGCGCGCGCGCGCGCACATGGTCCTACAGAGATTCCTTTTCGAGAATGTCGCTCGTCCCATTAGAGACGAGCTTTAACATTTGGACCCATTCTGCTTCTGTCATTTTACGAGCGAGTCTTATTCACAATTCTGTTTTTTTTTTTTTTTTTTTTTTTGCTAAAAGTGTGTCAAAGTGTTCACAGCTTTAATGTATTAATATTTGCTTCGAGAAAAAATAACTGTGTAATCTTGTTTCAAACACATTTATTTTTTGTGAAGTAATATCTCGGTATCTTTTCAATTCGTTGTAACAAGATATACAATATAATGTTATTATCTTGTTGATATATAATGTTATTATAGTTTTTAACACTTTAATCTTCGATTGTTTTCCAAAGAAGATTTTGCAAACCGCAATTTTATATTATTGTCGAAGTGGCAGTGGTACATTTTTAGAACTATAAAAAAATTACATTTACGCAGCTGGCAATGTGAAACAAATCTTTAAACTTTTAATTCTCATAATCTTACCTACGTGCGAAGTATTTTCTAGTTCAAAATAAGACTGTGCTTTTTATTTAACATATGTGTTACATAAAATTTTTTTCACATCGCTAGTATTATTATCTATTATTGTTTCTGCGTACGTGTATGAGATATACGTGTTGTACGTAACAAAAGCATGTATACGTAAGCATGAGAAGAACATATTTATAATATATCTCACTTTGCTAGATTCTCAGTATATAATGTTTTAATTGTCGGATAATTATTACCATCTAATAACAATGATAGGGACGTGTAATTCTTAAAAGGGAAAGTAAGTTTCTGTGTTTCTAATACCTCTCTACTGCTTCCTTTTAATCGTATTAATTTTCTTGAGTTTTCCTTTTATATTTATTTTTTTATACTAATCCCATAACATGGTAGAAGAGTGAGTTTTTGCTTCACGTACATACTAACACATTTCCGTATTACACAATTAATTGTCGCATATTTCGATTGTTTTATTAACAGACGCGCCTTCTTCTTGCATATTAAGTATAAATAAAGCATATAATTAATACACTACTCTATATATGTACACTACATAACTCTCTTGTTTCTAATAACCTGATTTATTTCTCGCTCTCGTACGAAACGGTATCAAATAATTTTCTATTTTATTTCAGAAATAAAAGCAAGGAAAAAGCATGCAGGTAAGAGATAATTTTCTTGGTGTCCGAACGTTTTCAGTAAAAACTAACTTAGCGCATGAAAGACAAGCCGAATAGATATTAACAACGTAGAATATATTAGCTCTAGTTTATCTTTTGTTAAAACTTACGATTGTAATAACTCCGCTTGTAATTCATGTAATAATTTTGATTAATTTGATCGTATAATTAAAAAAAAAAACGCGCGAGCGCGCGTTTTGTCTTTGTCCAATTAACGTAGCAAAAATGGCTTAAGATACATAAAGATAATAATGGTTCGTGTCGATCAGTCTTATATTCTTTTGTAAAAAAAAAAACGTTATATTGTAATAAATAAGACAAAGAAAGAGAGAGAAACTATGAGCCGCAAGCGCTGTAACTGAACGATTGATTGAATACAGAGAAAGATCTTGGTTTCCTACGAATTGGCTCGTTGAACGTTCGCGTGAAACGTACGACGGAAGCCTTCAGCCAATTCTTGGGAGTGGCATCCAGCAGCACGGCTAACAACGAGAAGATTCACAAGTCGTGGGGATCCGCGGATAACGTGCAGGTATTATTTTCTTGAATTCTTCACTACTCTTGCGGAGAGATGTGTAATCAAAAGTAATATGTAATTTTCTTGATATAAAATGCGCGAAACACTTTCTTTGACTAACACACTTTTTATTGTACAAGATAAACGTGTACACAAACACATCAAGAGATATTACACATTTAGATACACAAAAAGTGTCGTCGACTAGACGACATCTAGATTTAATACTTAAATTTAATCATTTTGAATAATTAAATATATATATAAGATTATTTTTCTCTTCTTTGACAATATAATAAATACGATAGATCGCAACTTGTATAAGTTTGTAACACGTTCCATACTATTATAATTTTAATGCGTATGTATTTTGATTCTTTTCTCTTCTTATAAAAGCTGGACCAAAAGATAATGCCACCGCCTAAGTACGCGCCTATCAAGAAGCGAAGGAGCAGACGGCCGCAGGACTTCGGCTCATCGCAAGATAAACAGCAAGCCGCCAGTCAACCGACTACCCCGTTGCTTCAGGGCAAGGTCAGCCGACCAAACCGGGCTGTTCAACGTCGACCGACGTCCACAACGTCCGTCAGCTCTGGCTCTATCGCGTCCAGCGGTATCCAGCAGAACGGCGATTCGGACTCCGACACAGCTTGCGGCTTCGACTCCGCATGGCGAGGATCAGCTCAGCTCTAATTAACGTAATTCGCCATCCCCTAGGCATCGTCGCCTTATGCTTATTCATAAGTATGAAAGAGCTCTATCTCTCTTCGGAGATTGCAATATCGTTAGCAAGCCCTTTTTATTCGGAAACTCAGATGTCTATATGTGAATGATTCTCGCGAATATTATGATCAAAATAAAAGTAAAAATGTGTTTCTCTCAACATAAAACGGACATTTCAAAATTGTTGTATGGATTTTTTTTTTGTACCTTATTTACAGATCGCTCTGCTTATTGTGTTATAGGGTTTTAATTGTTACTTTACATATTACAGAATACTAGATATATGAAAAAATACATATCCATTTTTATCTGTTAAAGTTTTATCAGTAATTTTTATTTTCAAAACAATGTGCAGTGTTTCTTTTTTAATAAATAGACAATTTTAAATCTTTATGTAATGTACGAAACTTAGAGAAAGAAAAACAACAATTTGATGTTTGAATACGTTTATCTTTGTGTAGCGAGATCAAACTAGAAATGTATTACAAATTTGCGTATAGAAAACGAGCATTTCCTTTTGCACTTCTCATCTTAAGATATTTATCTAGATTTTAATTTTGCATTTTCAAGATGTTGTAAATTAGATGTGTTCATATATATTGATATATATTGCACAAATTTGTTACATAACAATACGATGTCTTTTATATGAAGAATCAACAGTGAAGAATTGTTCTTCATGTAAAAGAGTTAGGAATTACAAATTTTTTGTTTTATTCGATTATCAAGATGTTTTTCTATTTTTATTTATGTGTTATAAAAAAATGCTAATAATTGTATCGTGGATACGTATATTTACAATGTGAAAACACTTATATTATTTTTATTTATATAATGTATTGAATAATTTTTAAGAGCAATAAACATCATGTTTAAGTTTAAGTTCTTATGTTAAAATCATATATATATATATATCACTTAATATATATTGTATTGCATTCGTTTTTTTTTATTAAAAAAAGACCAGAATGTGTAAATACAAACCTATTGAGTCGTGTTATTCGTGTATCTCTCTTTTTTTATTGAAAGTAAAATATGGCCTTTACAAGCTTTAAATGACCCCGATATATATCCGAATATCTTCCATTCTTCTCTACTTCTTTCTAGCGACATCTTTGCTTGGTCGTGCAACATAATATAAGACTCGAAAGATAAGTAATACTTTACGAGTATTTTAATTAAAAAAAAAAAAAACCATTCCAGACTGCACAAAAGTTCAAACGATGTAAAGATGTAAGTATCTAAAAGATAAATAAAATAATTTAGATGTGTCTCTTTTAGATATCTTTGCAATACGTCTTTTGGCTGTTTCGATGTATGTGAAAATTTATAATTTCTGCACAGTGGGTAGACTTTATTCACTACGAAAAAACCAAAGTTCTACAAACAAAAAGCGTATTCCTAGCTCTAATAAATAAATAGGTATTTAAGACGGTCGGGAATACAACGATTATATAATAGCAGCAAAAAGAAGACTGAGAGCGGCCAGGACCATATGAACAACTGTAATTGTAAATAGCTTTTCCGCCCTAAGCTAGCGCTATATCCACCGGTGGTGCACCTTGGCAACTACCTATGTATGTTCACGAGCGACTTGTCGGTGCGTACTCTGTGTCCAAACTAGGACATGGTTCTATTCCGTGCTATGTTCACAGCGTGGGGTTCTATCCTGTGCTGTGTGCACGAGTCGAAGTAAGTGTCGAGAAAGATCAAGCAGTCGTCCAGCACCAAGAACACCGAGATGACGGCGGTATACACTAAGCGAAACCACCGTTCGTAGAAGTTTCCACGAGCGCATACCGACAAGTCGCTCGTGGACATGGCTACGTAGTTGCCGATGTGCACCACCCATGGACATAGCACTGATTTACAAGGAGGAAAAGCTATTACAGTTTTATGGCCCTGGCCGCTCTCAGTCTTCCCCCTGCTTCTATCAGTGAGTATTCCGCAAATGCAAATTCCGCGCGCATCGTTATCTCCACTTTTCTTTTTTTAAACCCGTTTTACATTAAGCGCAAGACGCAAACGCAAGTCATAAGTCTCGTGAAATTGACTAATCACATTGATCAAATCAGGAAATCGTCCAACGTGATTGATCAATTTCACGAGATCTGTGTCTTGCATTTGTGTCTTATGTCTAATGTAAAATAAGTTTTATGCGCAGGCTGATTCTCTTCTCTCATTGAACAGAGCGTAACAAGTTGTTTGATGACACAATTGTCAAATTGAAATTTATTCGGAGAATTTTCACATGTGAGATATAAAATAAAGAACATCTGTAACTCTATATTAATGCATTAGTTAGCATGCAATAAATGTACATTAAATAAAATAAGTTTATTATAATTATATGACATAAAAAAGTATGTTGCAACATTCATTGTTTATCATTTTAGAACGGATCGACGATAAAAGACAGGCGACATTCTTGATTGTCATTTTCATTGTGTAGCAAAAAAAATAGGTTTATAAAAATGTACGACATATGTCATCCTGCCGTAAGTGATCATTTATATTATGTATCACATACACTGTTCTTTTAAGTGTAATAACATATTTAAGAAATCTTAAGAGAGAAATAGGAACATCTTTTGATTTAATGTCTGATTGTGAAATTATATTTACTGATTTACAGTATTATCATTTATGCAAGCTTGGATGCAATGATCCAGTAAAGACGAGTACTGCGTTTTATGTTTATATTGAATTGTGTGAAGGTATATTAAAAGTTTGCATTTTTTAAATACTTCGTATATATATGGATTAATAATTTGTGTATAATAACATCTAGTTAAACGCTTTTGGGATGTCAAATATAAATATAACGAAGATCTGGATCTCTTTTATTTTGAGATAAAAAAAAGAGAACATTCTCCATTAGAGATTTATGTACCTTGGGCAACCAAATATACCATCTCTTTTGATAAAATTGAGAAGATGCAACAGTCATTGCAAAGTAAACGGTAATTTGTGAATTTTTACTTTATGATATATTTCCTATGATTATGATTTTTGTATTTTATTTAAGTTTTATTGCTCTATATGTCTTTGTATACAAATAACAAAATTTTTTCAACAGAATAACTTTCGTATTTAAGTCTGAAGACAGTAGTAGTGTTTTTTATACAGTAACTGAAGGTCTTGTAAAACCAATATCCCCAGAAGTGTCACAGAAACTGAAAGAAAAGGCAATTAAGAAACAAGAGTTGGAAAAGGAAATTAGAAAAAACATATCACATCTATACGAATTAGCAAAAAGTTTATCTCATAAAACTGATAATCAACAGTGCAGTGTAGACATTGTTGCAGCAGGGCCTTGAAAAATACTGCTTCTATTGTGGAAATATTATGATACTGTTTATTTACTTAATATTTAATTATAACATGCTATATTTGTGGTTACTGTATTATTGCGCTTACTGTATTTTCCTTTTGTTAGCTTACATATAAGTGTTACACTATTCATATTCTTTAGAAGTTATGTAAAAACTCTGTACTGATGTGTAGAAACTAAAACATTTACCATATATATATAACTTTTCTTGAAAGATAAGTGAGATATCTGATAGGATAGGAAAAGGTGTACGTAAAAAACAAATACATGGATGTATATAGTTTTAATATCTATTTTTTAAAAGTAATTTATATGCATGTATAATGCAAATTATAAGAATATCTCTATAAAGATTGCATAATTATTTGAAGTGATATGTAATAAAAGCTGCCACTACAAAATTACATATGCATTAAATAAATTAATTCTTAACACTCTTTATCTAGTTGTATAGTATTCATGTATCAATTAGTCAATTAGTTGCTACAAAATACGAGGCACATAATTTTCTTTATCATAAAATTAACGATAAATATATATAGCGAACATTTTAACCGAACTTAAATCTAATATTATATAGAGAGAAATATGTATATATATAAAAAATGTATAACATGAAGTATATAAGCTAATAAAAATCTCTATAAATCAAAAATAAATCTATCTACAGAAAACACAATGGTTGTATAAATATATACAGATTTTTAAATCATCATATTTTACCACACCATGTATACTCCAAATTAATGAAATAATTTCTGCAAAATATGTATCCGCAATGTTAAAACAAGTAATTTGTTCATGCCTTACATATGATATACGTGTGTATATATCGTTCTGTGTGTGTATATTGTATAAGAATGCAAAATTATAAAATTATATTATCTCAACATCACAACACATTTTCACGATACAAAGTTACAAAGTTTTTAAAAGTACACTTTGGCAGTTGAAAGCATCATAAAAACAGAATATTGTATTGTTCAGAAGTGTGTTATACATGAAAACTTCAAAATAATATGCATGTATATGAATAGGATGTCTCTAGATAACCTTATACTCTTTTTTTGTATCTAAAAAACTTTAAACAATTATAATATATTAATGTATATATTTATACTCGCACAAATTGTTTTAAATTATCATTTTGCTTTTCAATAATTTCATATGTATTTTCTGTATCTTTAATAAGCGCTGTCAGGTCTTATTATTTTTGCCTGATTTGCTACTGAAAATGTTTTACAAAGTTTATATTTTTTATTTTAAAAATACACACAATGTGTGTACATAAAACATTAAAAAATTAAAATATTATGTAAAACGTATTTACATTAATTATATAAAACAGGCACATTTAAAAATTCTGTAGTATTCAAGTAATTATCGACAAATTTAATTATTTGTATATATGTATAAAATAGTTATCAAAGTGATTATCAATTTGTAATTGCAATAAGGCAAATAGATCTTAAAATTACCTCGAAAGGGGTATCTCAAATCTATCATTAATATGATGCAGTCAAGTTGTTATTTTCTAGTTATGATATTAAACAGTTCCGTTCAGAGACGTTGGTAATGTGACAAATTTTTGATTTGAGCGATATTAAAAGCAATATTATAAATAAATTTTGGCAAATGTAACTGTATAACAAACTTGAAAAAATCTGTAAGAATAAGCACTATAAGATCTGTCAAGATTTAACAGATTCTGTATATAACGAACTAATTCATACACGATAAAAAATTGGATAAACTATATTAAGTCTTACATATGATTTATATAAAGATCTATTTGCAATATGCTTTTTCCAATTTATTTAATTATATGCATTTTTATAAAATTTATAACTCAATTTTAATTCCAATTGTAATCTTGTAAAAGAAATATATACAGAGATATAAATCACAAATTCAAAAGATTTTTTTGTCTTTGTTATTATAACAACATTCAGAGAATTTTTATTGCTTGTTATCAAAAAGTATCCAATCATCATCATGATGTAGGCACCTTTTAAGTGATGAAATCATCACGAATGTCAGTTCGATTGTATACGTATGAAGAAATCGTAGACACAAATGACGGTTTTGCAAAGGATTAATTATTAAATATTAAAGTAATAGGATTAAATAATATAGCATTTATAAAAATGTTTTATAGCATTTATAAAACATTTTTCACAATTACAAAGAAAACTAATTTAGGAGTTTTCCGTTTTTCAGTAAAATGTATAAAATAGCTACCTCAATGTTGCTTGATTTTCAGATCAATTTCTACAAGACTGAAATATTGAAGCAATATTTAAATATATTTGTATCCCAATACAAATCCGTCTTACAACAGTACTTTGATGCAAAGTTAATGTCAAGTTAAAATCCTGATCGTGTAATACTATGACAATATCTCAACTACAGTAAACATAGAATTATTCAATATTTTTTTCCGATATTTGGTTATATAGTCATATATATATATATATACAACATAATATGAAAAAGCACGAGCTACTAAAAATTATGAACTACACTGTGAATGTACACAAAGAAATGAATGAAATATAGCAAATATATAAGTGGATTATATATATTAATCGAACCTAAAGGATTCCTAAAGGATTCTGATAATATTGTATAAACATATTGATATTGTATATTCACATGATTCATTGATCTTTCATTATATCATTATAATCTCGCAAAATAGCTATACATAGATTAATTTCCAATTATTGTGTAACAGGATGATAAACAATTATTTAAAGCGCTGAGTGTTATCTGCCGTCGGTGACTGTTGTACATACATAGCGCCACTTTAATTTCAGTTCTTTATCACATGAGCATGAGCAAGTATAGCTATATTTTGATTTTACTTTATGCTTTCTTAGTGAATGTGTTATTTGCATTATAATATTGTAATATAATATTATCCTTTAAGCTTTACACAAAAAGGATATTTATAAAATCCTCGAGTAATTGCCACGTGTTACTGTACAGAAAATAGTAATATATAGATAACAAATTGTTAAAAAAAATAATACATATTCACGCAAAAGGACATCCATATACATATATAATACTAATAACAGGACAATGTTTGGAGATCACTTCTGCAAAAAAAAAAGTGTAAACTAAAATTATCTTTACTTTTATGCGAGAAGAAACTTCTTTGTCACAAGAGATTGACAGGCTTTTTATCGCTTTTTTCTTTCTTTTTCTTTCTATCGTTTAACAATCGCGGAATCACAACTTAACCATTACGTTCGAAACTATGCAAATCACAAACTTATTTACATAGCTCATCGATTCAATAGTTGCGAGAAGCAACTTACTCGATATTATGTTATTTCATGTGTGTAAAACCAGAAAGTGTAAATATATATTATAACTAAGTTTTTTTTTTTTTAATACTTGTTAAAAACATATAACTCATTTTAGCGGAAAACCTGAGATTCAATAAAAGAATTTCTCCGGTAAATGTTATTTACCATGATCCGTTGATATAATGGTAAAAATAAAAAATTCTATATACGCATGACATAATAATATATGATATACTGTTCGCGCGAATAATCGAGTCCCGTGCTACAATAAAGGTTTATTCAATATTATAGCACGTGTTTTTTAATTATGACATGCAAATATATACTTTTCCTCGTCGAGCAATAATTACTAGCACCAATCAGCCATATAAGTAAAATCTTTAAACAAACATTGTTCTAAATCACTGAGAAGTCGAGGATCTTTTGGAGGCGTCAGTTGTGGCTTCTCTGAAGTAAACTCCTCATCAAAATTACTTACATCTTCTACCGAGTGCTAATGATAATAAAAAAAAAAAAATAATAATAAAAGTTTTTGTTAAAAGGTTTTAATTTTTTTAAATATTGCACTTTTGAACTCTAATCTTTGCTTTAATCTTAATTCTTTGATTGATATTTTATGTTTTTATATCAACAAACGTTTCAGAATTAAAACTGAATTGTTACTTACAATTACTGGAACGAATGGTGGTTTCACGCGTCTTAGAAGCAAATCATCCCAAGCAATGTGTCTGAAAAATGCTTGTTTCTTAACGTCCTCCGCGTCTCTTTCGCTGCTACCTAATCTCCTGTCTGGATTCTTCCTGAGTAACTGTTAAAGAATATATAAAACATACGTGTATAACAGGAAAACAGAAATGAAGAATGTAATGGACATATGGTAAGATGTTTACTCGTCTCATAATTGCTATTGCTTCCAAAGACAGGAACCGAGGATATCGTACTTCATCATTTACAATAGAGTCAAACACTTCTTCTTCGTCATCGCCCGGGAAAGGAGACTAAAAACATTTTAAATATTTAATATTTCATATAAAATTGAGATATATATATGTACGTGTGTGTATCGTACATACGCACACGCGCGCGTGCTTTTAACCAATATAAATTACCTCTCCAACAAGCATTTCAAATATCAAGACTCCGAGGCCCCACCAATCCACAGCTCGCGTATAAGAAGTTTCCGTCAACACTTCGGGCGCTAAAAACTCAGGAGTACCACAAAAAGTGCCAGTCCTATCTCCAAATCCCATGCCTTCCTTACATAAACCAAAATCTGCGATCTTAACATAACCTTCTGTATCTAATAGCAGATTATCTAATTTCAGGTCTCTGTAAACGAAAAATCAAATATATTATTTAAAATATATACGTTACTGCATTACATTTAATATATATGATCGATGTACCTATAAATTATGCGATTCTCGTGCAAATATTGTAATCCTAGAACGACGCAAGCAGAATAGAAGACAGCACGTGGCTCGCCAAAAACATCGGCATGTATGTGCATCATAAGATCACCACCAGCTGCATATTCCATTACGAAACATACATGCGCCTGTAATAAAATTGATCTTTTATTTTATCTTTCTTATAAATTATGCTAAACACGTTATGCGGAAAAGAATTATAAAATACCTCGGTTTGGAAGCATGCAAACAAGTTTACTAAGAAAGGATGGCGCGTCGTATTCGCCACTTCAAATATTCTCTTTTCAGAGAGCAAAGATTCCACTTCGTCTCTAGCTATGATATCTCCTTTCTTCAAAGCCTTTATTGCAAAGTATTCTCCGGTGTTTCTATATTGCGATAATATCACTTTGCCGAAATGTCCGCGACCGAGAACGGAGAGGAGCCTGAAGTTCTCCAAAGTCATACCAGTAAGCTGAGAATGTCTTCTTGACTCGTAGGCACTATCTCTATATTGAAGGGGTCTGATTGGCAGTTCATATACAACCTGAAAAATAGAACCTCTAGTTGAAGAAAATTATACATGCTGAAATGTATTTTATTACAGAATTAGACACTTCAAAAATATGATCAATACATATCTCACATGAAAAATTAATAATGTTAGTATATTACAAAACTACGTAAGACAGTTTAATTATGTTTAAGATATAGCGTTTTGTATTGTAACATTTTAATTACTATAATATTTTAATTACTATATATTCTCTATATTATTAATTACATATTTTTGTTATTATTAAGTATACTCACATATCACATCTATTTCTAACAAATAATATAGTAGAAATAAAAAAGATACATGCATAGTACACAAACAGAAGTTAGAAAGATTTAAAAATATACTGTATAGTAAAAGTGTATATATGCATAATAGTATAAATATAAAATAAAAATAAAATGACTTATACAAGCTATTATAAGACTATGTACAAGCATAAACACGAAACATTTTTTTCTCCAATATTTACATGCAACAATGTGTGTTGTAATCTTGTAATATTGCAAAGCAAGCAAAGCAATGTTGTGTTTATACGGAGGTAATGTACCTCATGTACGGAGGTATGTACCTCATCCTCAGGAAACTCGACGACAGGTTGAGGCGAGGGTGTGCGTGGAGAGGATGGTGCAATCAGCACAGGACGGGGCTCTGTAACAAGGGGTCTCAAAGTTGCACCCTGAGAGCTCCCCTTGTCCTCGTTGTGCAGAAAATCAAACTCCCTTAATGCACTCTGTAACTACATTAACTCTACCTCCTTATCTCTAACGCTCGATTGAAACTGCATTAAATTATAGATTGCGTACCAGAATTTTGACTTGAGCAAAACATGCATCACTACATATATGTGTAAAACTATATTCTATTGTAAAATATAATTTCTTCTACAATAAATGTGTTATATATAATCTATTGCAATAATAAATTTTTATTTCACAGGGAGTTTGTGAAAGATTGCTTATTGTTCTTGAAAATTGGAAAAACAGTGTAATTATGTATATTGATTAAAATTATACGTATTAATTGCGTAAAAATCTAGAATTGTGAATTATTCAAGTACTTTTTTTTTGCAATTTATGTAATAATTTATGTAATAAATTGCAAAAAAAATATATAAAAACGTGTATATTTTTGCATTCCAAAATAAAATAATTGAAAAAATTTTGCTTTGAAGCAAAGTGCAAATTAAACTGAAACTAATTTTATAAGTACTACTATTTTATAAGTATGCAAAAAGACATAATATACTTGATAACATGCCGTATCAAGAGATATATATTTACATCAATAGATACCGTTTAAAAACGTTTATTTTAGAAACTGTTTTACTTTTTAAAGTATTTTGGCCCACAACCAAGAGATACCCAAAGTCTTTAAATTCTAATATAAATGATTATAGTTCCTATCGTAAAGTGATAAAAAGTAGAAAAATTGTGTAAAATATCATATAAGTATATATGAAACATACTACATTATATATTTGGTGGCATATATGTATATATATATATTTATATATATATATATTTGCTGTTATATATTATGTGAAAAGTATTTAAAGTATATTTTATATAACATCTGAACTTTTGCATTAATTCATAACGTGTGATTATGCAACGATTTGTGACAGCAATAATATTTTTACATCAAAAGCAGAACAAACGACTTGTCCGATTTAAAAATAATAATATTGCTATATAAAAAGACATATATATACACAAAAAAGTTTACCTCTTGATCTAGTTTAGGAGGTGGTGTAGGCGCAGGCGTAGAAGGTTTCTTTATAATAGTTGGTGGCGGCGGAGGAGGATGTTCCGGAGGACGTGGCAGAGTTGGGCTATTATTCGACGTTGACATTCCCAAGGGCCGTGTACCACCCAATCCACCCTTTTCTGGATCGGGTACTTCGCCGGGAGTTTCGGGTTTGTCTTCGACCGAGGTATCGAACACAAGTTGCAATGGTTGTTGTCCTGTACGAAGAAAACTGCATAAAATATCTTTGCAAGAGCAATTAAATTTCACACAAATTACACTGAGTCCCTTACCTGTTGGTGGGCTTTCCGAGTTTCTAGAATTATTCAGTGAAGGCGCCGAACGTTTAAGCAACCTGCCCCAAGTTGCGACGTTTATATTCATTTGATTCGCTCGCGGGAAATTTTTCACCTGTTGCTTAAAGATCTTGCGTTGACGCTGTAATTTAGGCTTTCGCGATATCATCGGATTCAAGAATTTTATTTCTGCGAACAGCAATCCTTGCGGTTCCAATTGTAAGGCCATGCCGTGTCGAACATCATCAATAAATTCTTCTAAACGTAAAAACTTCACCGCGCAAAGAGATCGCCAATCTTTCCAATAAATGCCTATTTCAAGTTCTCTTGACTTATCTAGCTCAATAGAAAACCTAGAAATTTATTTCGATACATGAACACGAAGCACATAATAAAATATGTTTGAACATATATAAGATAGATATGATATAATTAGAATCAAACATAGAATATTACCTTTGATCCCAAGCTTGTTGGGAACACGGACGCCAACTAGTTTGTCCTACAGTTTGGTTATCCAATTTTATAACCGCCATTATATCATCTAGAAACACAACGACAATCAATAACGGAAATGTTATTCCCAAAGTGTAAACTAAAAACTTACTGCTTGTTTCGTCCTTCACGCTGTATGACTTGCTTGAGCTGCGTCCTGTTACACCTTTAACAAAGCTACGTAAATCAGGACTAGCTGGATGTTCTCTTCTCGTACGTCCAGGCACTTCTTCTGCTAGATCTTGACATCCCATTAACCTTACCTATATCAATCATATATGGCATGTAATTGAAGAAACTAAACGTTATTGATCGCGTTTTATCATGTTCCCAACATACCTCTAATTGTCCTGTGACAGCGGCGCATCTTGATACTGAAGCTGGTACAGTGGCTTTACCCTCCAAAGGACCGCGAAACGGTTGCAATGATGTATAAGTAACAGGAACTGGACTTGCCGACTGTACGCTAGCTAATTCTCTTTTTAACTGAGCTGCGGTGCCGCTATCGGGTGGTAGCTCTTGTCTTCTAAGCTCGAGAGATAATCTGAGTAAGTCCAATTTTCTGCTGGATTCCGCAAGACTTGCTTGAGCCTGGTAATTTATGTAACAATATGTCATTCATGTGTGCGAAACGTTTGTACACATTAATTGTAATATTACGTTAAATTATTATTTATATTCTACAAGCAATATAACATTAACAGGAGATTAAATTATACACACGTAAACAGAAGCGATAATTGGCATAAATCATGTATTTATTAACATTAAATACAATCAGTATAATACATTTCTGTTTAATTTATATAAATGCTCAATTTCCAACAGAATGTGTGTTTAGCAACTCTCCTAAAAATTAATTCAAATAAAAAAAAAGCTACACAGTATATGGAATACTTGAGAAAATTATAAATTAAACACACCCAATCACAATGTGCAAGTTTAACAAAGTTCTTATTTGCCATGAACACTGGAACGCAAATTACTTTATGCGTACAAGACTTATATTATCAATAAATAAAGTATAGAAAGCATGTCCATTTAAAAGCTAAAGAATCAATATATTTAAACTTTCCAGAAAATTGAAATTCAGATGTCACTCTTTGCGCAATGTGAATGCTGGATGTCGTTCGAGTTCACTTAACGAAGAAGATCGACCTCTCGCTTCTTCAAAGTACCTTCGACAGTGCTCGCACGAACATGTCGGATTTTTCGAAGGACCTATATGATGACCGGGTTTTCGAAACGCACTAATTACCGCTCCGAATCTCGAAGCTTTAACGATATGATCAGTTTTTTCCCCATACGGCGTAGTAAAGGGAGACGTTACGCGAGAAGGTATAGTTGATGGGAGAGGAGATGGACTCTTCGATCCGAACGGACCGATACGATCGCGCAAAACATTTGAATGTGGAACGTAATCGCGTGTCGCGAACTGAGAATGTTCTTGAGCATTTCCATCATCCAAACCTAAACTGCCTGCATCAGCTTTCTCTCTGTGATCCTTGCTCGAACAACGGACAATTTTATCTTTTTTAACGATTTGTGATTTATTCTCGCCGGACACGAAACTCCAACCAACCGCTCCGCTCTCGTCGGAATCCTCAGCACTCTCATCGGATGACCAACCAATCTCGTGTTTCTCGAAGTACTCTCTCATTTTTCTGTTCTGCAGAAGGTGTTTTCGTTCAATTTGCGGCGATCGCCAGGATCTATTCTTTTTATTATCCACTTTCGCTGACATATCCAATCTTCGTATTCTGTCTCGATCTATAGAATTGGCGTATTCGAAACTATCGCAAGGTGTCAAATCAGATTTGCTGTTGATCAAAGATTCGATATCCGAGAATGTGTCCTTCGATGATGTCATGATCGTTGACTCGTAATCGCACGGCGAGAGAGCCGTGCTGGACGATGCCGCGGACCACGGTACGGAGTCAAGATCTCGTATACCACTGTACGAGCTAAATCGCGAGGGATAAAGAGAACTCAAAACGTCCTCGCTGTCGTATCCTTTCGAACTGGCCAATGAGGGCATTCTCATCGGCGCGTTTCTGAAACTCGCGCATCGTCGCTCGGCGCTGCGCTTCAGAAAAGCATTCGCGTCCTGAAATCCTCTTGGTAAATTATTCGTCGCTTGAGTGTGAGTGACTCTGACGTCCTCGTTTTCGAAAACGGTCATCGGCGTGCTGCGCTCGTCGTCGCTGACCGTCGTGTTTGTGCTTGCATCATCGTCGGATCCTGTGCAGTAAACATCGATGTGTACCGTTCGTGATTTGTGCTTACTGCTATCTTCTTTTGCGGAGGAATCTGATTTTTCCGCATCAGCCGGAGGATCGGAACTGGAAGTCTTGCATGACGGTGGAGGCGATCGAATTTCCTGCTAAAAGAAGACAATCGTAACATACGACATTTTAATTGCTTCTAAATATTCGGAATTCACTCCTACTTACCTCCTTTTTTTCCTGTTCGACATAATGAGGAATGATACCAGTGCCTGATTTCCTCCTAACTTTACTGCTTCTCGATATAGTCGATGAAGAACGCACTGATTCGACGTCGGTGGTCTGTGAAGACGCGTCTTTGCTGACCGTGGTGGATTTATTATTCGCGGATTTTTCCGCAACGCGGGTGCAAAAGTGCGTGGTAAAGGCGCTGGATGCGGTTCCTTCTGCGCAATCCTCGCAGACTTCCGGAACTGTGCTGAATTGGTGATGGCGCGGGAAGATATGTTGGTGCGACGGTCGATGATGCCAGGAATCGACGGAAAAGATTTTCGACGATTCGTTGTTGGTTTTTTCGGGATTTGTATTGTCAGCGCCCGTAGTGGAGAGCACGATGCTGCACGTGCTCTTGCATCGACGGTTGTACTGCTGGGACGGACGTCGTGCGGGCAAGGTCGTGTACGTGCGCGGGGTGAAATGCTCGCTGTTATAACCGGAGTCGGACACGTTCGCACGACCTCTCGACGACGAGATGGAGTCGTCGTTGCCCGACGAGCCCGAGCGCGGCAGAGTGTAAGATTCGCTTGACGATTTCTGAAACGGTCTCTCGGGCGGCGTGGATGTGAACAGTATATTTCCCCGTTGAAAACCGAAACCGCCAGTGCAGCCTGACGATAAAGATGAAGTGTTGGACGTGATTGCCGGTGTCGTTGGTGTTGTCGTGTTCGGCTCGCTCGTGTTCCAGCGGCATATCATGCGGATACCGCCCGCATCGGTGGTGGTGGTGGTGCCCGGCGGCACTTGCACGGTCTCAGAGGTCACCGCGTCGCCATGGCGGATCGTGACTTCGGCGCGCACGAGCCACGGTGGCACTTGGCTCGAGCCACCGTCGACCGGCCTATCCTGACGTCCGTACATCTCGCGCCTCTTTTTTTTCTTAGCCGCCGCCGCGCCTTTATCCACCGCAGAACATTGTCGTCCTTCAATCGACTTTGTTGTGAGGGCACATCTGTCCAGAAGAGACGATAATGCAATTCTCTCGTCTGTATTCTTCTTTTCATGGATTTAAAATCTCTGTTCGAACGCGCGCAAATCGTTCAGTGATTTCAACACCTGTAACCGCTCATTCGATTTTTCATTCAATGTCGACGTGATATGATGAGAAAAAACTTATGTAATGTCTATTTGAACTTAGCGACTTCTCGTGCTCGACGACCTCGTTCGCAGCACAGTTTTTCCCGGAAAGATGGTAATACTGCGATATTGCATCGCCACTGATCTATTTTCGGGTCTTGTGTGTATGTGTGTGTGTATGCGCGCGTATGTGTGGGTTCGAGAACCGTCCGAGAATACGTTTCTTTTCACTTCAACGTAAAATCTTCAAAGTTGATATCGAAAGAAACTTCGGATGACCGAATGACCACTTTGCACTAAATCTTCATCGTGTGAAAAACTATGTATCTTGATTGCGCGCGATCGATTGTTTGTAAAATTTATCGCTTCGTCGTTGGGAATTACACAATGCTTCCGTGATTGTTGCAGCTACCGTGATCTTCCATCTCGGCAATAAGGCAATAAACTGAGCGACGTAAAGCAAACGACGCGGTGTATAATTAGCACAAAATAAATTTGGTACAACGTTATAGTCGCACTAAGAATATATATATCTGGAATACGATGATACTTTCTCATGCGACGACATCCACCGACGCAGTAATAATCGTGCGCAATAATAATGAACGCACAGCGAGGTCAAGTGTGTGTGCCACGTTACAAAAATTGATTTATTAATTCCTTAAAAATCTCGCGTCTATTGAGTCTCATTGAGCGCGCACCACACAATTGGTATATATGTATATACATACGCACATATATATATATATGCATACATATATCTATGTGATTAAAATTATATTTGTCATATACGATCTCAAAAGCAGCAGTCAAAAATCAATATTATCCCTGAATTAATTCACGCGTACCACACATAAAATTCATCCAAGTATCGAAAATTATAAACGAACTTTCGTTAGTGACGAGCTGTTTACAACTCGATTAGAATTTGAGCGTCCAGTTAGTGTACGAGTATCCTGACAGCTTAAATCAAATTTTCAAAAACAGACGTCTTCGATCTGTCAGTCTTCTCTCAGAGCGCAACATTTGGGAAAGGGGGCGGCAAAGTGGCTTCAAACGAGCTAAAACTGTGGGCGGCTTCGTGTCAGTCTTCAGGATCATAATTAATGGCTGCAATCCGAATGTGTGGTCGATATCTTCCTGGATATCCACTTGACTTGGGCGTACGCATTCCACAAGCGCCTCCTTCGCGGTCGATCGGTGCACATGTCGTCGGTTTATCGCGGTGCTTACGATACTGGGTGATGCCAGTTCTTCTCGAGAGGTGGTAACTAAGCGCGACCCGAAAAGGCGTCACGAGAGACGGCGGGGTAGCGCGGGCATCGGAAGATCTATTTTGAGAGAGGCGCGTATACGCCATCGTTTTCTCTCTCTCTCTCTCTCTCTCTCTCTCTCTCTCTCTTCTCCCTCTGGGGTTTATGTCGATCCGTGCAATCCGCGTGATCAGGCTGTCGTTTTTGTATACGCCGGCTGTTACAACCGGAGAAACGTTCTCATCGACGCGAGATCACTATACCGCTCGCGCGAAGAGAAATTAATTTCCGCACCGATAATACGTAAAATATTATTATAAATCAACTCGGTCGTTGACACGTTTAAAAAAGTAATGTAAAAACGCAGTTTACATTTACTTAAAAATAAAAAAAAGGCAAGTTTAAACGTAACAACAAACTGATACAAAAAAAAAAGTGAAATGTCATGCATGTATAAATGCCTGTCAGTTTTAGAGAACGTTTGCTCGTGGCCAGAAACGGAAATGGTCCGCGCATTGTATGATATTTTCACCGAGAGGTGAAGTCAGACGATTTCCACGTTATTATCGTTTCGAAACAGCTCTGTCAGAGAAGTGACGTAAATAGCTTCCTTTAACGCTACATATACGCGCGCATTACAAAAGCCACTCGCGGATTGCGTGTCACACACAGGTGCTTGTTTCCGCTTTCGCGTTGACGGCTAGCATATTCGAAAAATAAAACCACCTACCTCTGTTAAGGCCTTCTTATCAGCGACTTTGGCACTTTGTAGAAGACGTATCACGTTCTTGGCACCTTCTACGACAGCTGCCTCTATTCGTAATCGATGCCGCAGCTCCTCCACCCTCTCTTCCAACGCGAGTTCCAAGCTGGGCTCGTACCTGTCTATAATATAATCATTATTACGTTTATTATTTACACGCTACCTCGACAAAATCGCGCTTGTGACGCTAATCGTTCAGTCAGTACAAAGGTGCCTATCAACGGCACGCGATTATTCTTTTACGTAACGCAAGATATACTCCGCCCACGCTTTATATCATGGAAAAAGTAAACTATTACACGTAACGTATCCTTCTGCGAACAAAGAGCCTTCTTCCAAGAAATGCCATTTACCACGATAACGGATATACTACGCAACATTGTACCTCTATGCTGAATAAAACGCGACACAAATTCCTGGGTAAGATACGAACGCGTACCGTATTCTGGAACAGTTTCATTATTGCAGTAAATGTCAGCTTACTGTCTCTTCATTCCGCATAAACTTCACGTTAACAATAAAATGTACGCAGCTTAACTATGGCCGTTCAAACAATCAGACTTTTGTGGCCGGAGATACGATACGTCCGAGAGAATTTATCGAAGCTGTTGACATGCGTTCCTTGTATAATCTATGTTGATGTTTATGCAAAGTTCTTAAATACAGATATACGCAACAGACACCTAACACACAGAGTGTGTGTAACTAAAAATAAGGAAACACCAACTTCCGAGGCGAGTTTCCCACGACAAAACAAGAAAACAGTTTTTGTAGATTTACTCATAAACGCTTTATTTAAGAGACATTGGCATCTAATGTTTTCAAATTTTGTTACAAAAAAACTGACGCTTTTGAATTGGCAAGCCTCGCGTTTATTCTAACTGTAAATATATTGATATGAGTATAATAATAATTAAAAATAAATAATATTAAAAAGTTACTTGTTCACTTTCCATTAATAAACATTTATTTGAGCTGTATCTTACAATTGATAACAGTGAGTTTGCGGATGTTGATATGAAACTTTTTTTATTTCTGTTTCTGTTTTCATATAGGAGCCCTGAAATTTGTTCCCTTAATTTAGTTACATTCTGTATAATTTGTGTTTACAATTGTCCACTTTACATCTAAATATCAACATATTATTTAACAAAAATATTTTTAGCGGACAAACATAAATTTTTAGAATGTCGGAAATTGTTATTAATAACAACTGAGATATATGTGTACCTTTGTTGCTAGTTGCTTCGCCATTCGGTGGTGGCGCATCACCTCGCTGCTGCTGCTGCCGCGCCTGTTTTACCTTCATAATCCGCATGCGTAGGAACTCGATTTTGGCGCGGGAATCGTCCAGCATTTGTTGAGCCTCCTGTAGCAATTTTTTGTCACGATGGCCGCTCGTTAAACTCTGTATCATATTTTCAGCACCCTGCTTAACCTGTTTGAAATACAAATATACATTTTCTATTGAAATCTTTATTAAATGAAATGACGCGCGTGCGTCAGCGCATTGCAACTTTCCAATTTAACATACGCGCTCAAAGAGCGCGCATATAAAAAGTTAACACTGTTATTAAAAAAAAAAAAAAAAAAAAAAACAGAAACGTAAAAAGATAACTGTAGATCTGTAGAATTGATCTGTGAAATAACTGTAATAATTATATTTGGTTTTGTTCTGTGCATTAACACGTAATAATTGGAAAGATTTGAACGCGTTACTCTAATTATTATAATACATCACGTGATGCAACGAGATATATTATTTTTAGTAGAGGAAAAACTGCAAACGACTCATTGCGCTGACTCACGCAAGACTGATACAAGAAAAGTGAAAGAGAGACTACTACTACCAAATGTCTATGTGTAATCATTCGGAAAGCGTTAAACAAATTTATTTTCGAATACACAGTGAAACATCTTATGCGTCCATATGTTAAATTTACCTCGTCTTAATTATTACCTCAATGTAACATTAACATACAACTGATGTTACTTATTTTTGTAACGTTTTCATGTGTTAGATTTATGTCAACTTCATAACTTAACATTTAGTGTATCATTTGAAAATGAAATATTATTTTGAGCGCTTTTAACGCAATTATTTCAATTATAATCTATATGTTCCAAAGTCAATTCAACATTTTAAGAGAAATTAAAATAAATCTTAAAATAATCATAAGCTTTGATACGCAAAATAATCAAATTTACTACAAAGTTAAAATAATTATTATCACGTGTTAATATAATACAAAAAATAAATGTTCTTCTAAAGTACATTCTTACGAGTTATAATTGTAACTACTCTTTCATTTAATTTTTCATTATTTTATGTTATTTTTACACCACACTTAAATAGTGTCAAAATATAGCGTCAAAATAACAAATATAAATGTATTGTGCCAATATTACTTAGTTGTCAACAAGTAACACATAACAAATGAGTTAATTTAATTTAACATTTAGAGTAAATCTCCCGGGACGTGTAAAAGATGTCAAAAATTAACATTTTTTTTTTTACTGTATATGTTGTAAAAATTTGCGAGATACAAGTATAAGTAAAAAAGAACTACCGCGTTATCGGTAATCTTCTGATATAAGTATTATAACTACTATACAAAAATCTTGATAACGCGATTATTTGATGCCAATGTGATAATATCACGCAAACGTCGAGCGAGAAGCTTGAAATTATCTATACATGAACTTTAAAATATTCCGAAGTATCGTTGAAAGCGGCAGTTACCTTACCTTCAGTTCGATATTGAGCTGCTTCTCCAAGGACAGAAGTCGAAGATCCGTGAATAAACCTTCCTGACTCGGCGACGAAGGCCCCATCGGTGACAGAGGCGTGTCTGAAACAAAAATAGGCGCGTTCGCAAAACGAAAGAAATTCAAAATATGATCTACTAATATACATCGGCAAGATGTCGAAGAACGACAAACATTTCGCCCACATCAAACGACAAAAATACGCGGAGAAGCGTGCGCCCCGTCTTTAAAATTAGTTTTCTCTATCGCGCATTCCTCGCTCGACTTTCTTGCACGCCCGCAAGGCTATTTTTTCTTCATGCATTACGTGTACAATTTTCCACATTAACATAAACGCAATACCACTGCGAACTCAAACACGTGCAGCGTTTTCATATCTCGCGATCTCCGATTCGATAGCGAGATAATGTAGTACGCTTAAGATCCTACTTTCCACATAACTCGGTGCTGACATGTTAAAGATGTTCCGACTCCCACGTGTATTCAAAGCCGCGTCACTAAGTATACAAGGAGTGTGGAAAAAAAAAAGTGATGTTCCGGTTTGTTTCAGGAACGCACCGTTATGAATTTCCCATTGCTTCCTTTCCATTAGGCTCGCGCTCGCGCAGCTTGTCCTGTCGTAAAACGTCTTCGGGAGAGATAATGCAAATAGTGTATCTAACAATCGCGAGACGCGCGATTCTCTCACGTCAAACGACGTAGTAAAATAGTTATATGCAAATATAAACTTTAAACCACAATTTTATGAGCACATATGTATATATACATATATATACATACATATGTATCTATGCATTTTAATAAACAATAATATATAAAATGCTATGTATATATGTACTGTGGTATTAATATTGTGTAAAATATTATGTATATATACTGTACACACACACACACAGAGCGTTTAATTCGCACCGGAACAGTGTGTGGGAAACGCGAATCATAATTACGAGCGTTATTTCCGCACCCGCCGGAACTTCCAGCAATTACATTAATCAATGTGCCTTACGTAACCATCGTTATCTTTTTGCTTATATTTTAATAACACACAGCAGCTCTAATGCTTTCGTAATTGAAGTTTTCCGTTTGAAGAAAACGCTTGTGTATAAGATCATTGCTCATATTCCAATCGTATGTAAAATTTAACAATTTTTTATGAAAACAAATCTAACGAAAATAATGTCAATGTCCCGCGAATAATTGGGAGTTTTGTTCCCGCTGTGAGATAACGCGTCTCCGCTATTGCGGTTAATTGCGCGATTTTTCGAGACGGGAGCAATTTATGTCGGTCGTTTATATTTGTCTATGCGCACATCGTTGCATGTGACCGCGGCGCGCACGCGAATTTAGCTTGTTAGAGCCGCGATGTGGAGCACTTTTTCCTCCATTCAAGTATGCCCCATTATGCGCCCCGTATATACCTGAACGCACGGGAAGCGACCGTAAACACGTGCATGCCACGGTTCCACGATTTTCCCGTGCGCACACACGCGCACCGCGATAAACGACGCGTAGTACCTACCCGTTCGACGCCAATGAACGAACGGACGGAACTTTGTGCACACACGCGTCTATGCACATGAGAGCATATCGACGAGTACAAATAAGGCGAGGCGAGGGAGAACGAGCAGATATTCGATTTTTTTTTTTTTTTTACGACATTTAAAATCCCAAAATTGTACCGCCAAAATGTGTCGTTGCCATTTAAAAATCGCGTGAACGTCTTAGTCAGCCGGCGCGAACAGCGTCTAATATTCGTGATGTTATTTTACGTTCACTTATAACATAAGACATGTCAATTCCAACTTGTGAATTTTAGACGTTGCAGTAGTTGAAGTGTGAGCTGGTATTGTCACCAAATTACTAAAAAAGTTGTCTACTTCGAAGTGTCTACTTCGTGGAGCTGCTTACACAAACATTTATGTGCGATAACAAGCTAATGTTTGACATTTGTTTTTTCGAAGGATAAACTTATCAACGACAATGCGATACTATCGTTGCTATATGTATATAGTATGCGTCACTTCGCGTACTTATCAATCAATCATTCCTCGTATGCTATAGAGTAGATAAAAAAACTTACCGCATAGTATTTATTTTCTAATGTGATGTGATCTCTCAACTTGTGTGCTTCATATTTTATAAGATTTATTATCAAGCGATGAACTCGTCGAGACACGCGAGGTAATGAGAATTCAATTATTATTATTTTATGATCTCTCGTAACGACGTAAAAACACATCGCTTAGCAATCTCATCGATCTTCATTAATGTTGACTCCATTTTCTCTCGGACAATCGCGGAACGGCTATTATTATTGCCCGCGAGCATATAACAAGGAACATAGAGAGAAATCGAAGAATCGAGTCTCGCCGCGCGAATAGCAAACATGCGCCAGGCCTTCAATGCGACGAAAACGGCGGTGTAAAAGAGTTTGCGGGAACACAATGCGGCATCGAGAGCTACGCGAAACCGTGTCATTAGCGCAGACCGACCGAACACGTGCCCCATTATATTCTGGCGTTTCTGCCCTTGTAAACCGCCGATGCATATACGGAGACCGGCGACAAAGGCCTTCCTTGTTTTTGATACCACTGCTAGGCATCGCCCTTGCGTACATTCCTGTTTCTCTTTCATCCGCAGAGGTCTGGTATATATAACATATCCTTCTCGCCATCCCTTCCCGCGAAACAGTTTACCGATGCGCTCGTGTATGTATACATGTATATTGAAAGGGGAAAAGGAAAGAAATAGAAGGAAGAAAAACGGAAGGGTTGTGCCAGGATGCACAAGGTGACTGCGGCTATTCGCCGCCACTTTCGCCGCGGTTCAACGACTCGAATGAGTGCGCACGCAACCCTTTCGGAAGAAAAGCGCGTGCACTCTCGAAGAGCGGCCGGATAATTGCTCTCTTTCTCTTCTTGTTTGCGGCGAAAGGAGAAAAAGGGCAACGGCGGCGACTGCTTGCACGTGAAGTGGTACCGATAGTTATGCAAAACACGCCCCGACTATCGAGACAAACGTGTAACCCAGGTGTGGTTGTTAGTTTCGTATTTCCGAACGGTTTACACTGCTCCTTTGATTGTACATTCTGAAAAATATCTTAGACAAAAATAACACACCATATAAATTCTTTTCTCTTCTTTAAATCTTCTTTTAATGTGAAAAATCGTGAACTAAAATATTATCACAGGGCAAATTGTACGTCTCTCAGTGGTTACACATATCGTAACCGCAATATGCATCGCGCTGCAATATCGTTGCGCCAAGAGGCGTGCGCCAAAAAGAGAGAGAAAGAGAATCTTCTTCTCCTCTCCCCATTCATAAACTTCGCTCGCATCGAAGCTGTTCCGTCGCTACACGAGCGTGAGTTAGCGATACGTTCATAAAGCATGAACGCATCAAAGGGGAGAGAAGCTCTTGTGCAGTTCGTTAAATGCATGTAAGACGCGATTGTTCGTGTGTGATGGTTGTCTGCCACATCCTTATTACGGCATTGATTAAAATAATTACCGCAACACACTCTCCACGAGGAGGCGAATCTCAAAGCGCTTTATTTATACATCTATAATAGACCAACTCACAACATAATGCATATATCGAATACGCTTGCGAGCGCGTCCGTTCCTGGCAATCTCGTTGTTTGCAACTAAACGATTGCATCACATTACGGACGACGTGCAACGCGACTGTGCAACGTGTGAAGACAGAATTTTCCGAATAATTTTCTCACATCGCTTATGCATCTCTGGCACATATTCAAATTCATTCGCAATTCTCAATAGAAAAATCGAATTATCTATTTATCTGATTTCATAGAAACTGAAATCTTTTGGCAAAATATAAAGCGTTATTAACCGTGTTTTGTCATTTCTTCACGACACATCGCAACGCCTCACTTTATTGTCACTTCATTGAGAACATGCGAAACTTGTGTGTGTTGTTTTTCTTTTTATATTTTATTCATTTGTGTTTCAGATGTAAAGCTAACAGTTTCTTTGAATCATTCCAAGCTGCTTCGCAAGTTCTTTTTGTGTTTGTGTTTGATCTAACAGCTTCCGCAACTCGATGTCTTCAAATTTCTTCGAATGACTGGACTGAGGTGTTCGTCATTCACAAATCAAACTTTTCTTTTTTAGAATCTTTAGAATCACTTTTTACATATTTTGTGGAACTTTGCCTAGGGCAGAAAAAATCATTCGAAAATTGCTTTATTTTTCTTTAACTCAAACGCAAAAACAATGCGGTGCCTGATATGCGTCTTGTTGCATTAGCTATCGTGAACGCAAATTGATATTTTTAAGTTTACATCGGTCATACAGTTAAGTTGTTTGAAGTTTTACAAAATAAATGATTTCTTTTTAAAACTATTATAAGATAGGAAAGTATTTTTTTTTTTAATTTGAAATACAAAAGAGTGGGTGAATAGGCACTGAATTAATTTATACATCTTTAATATGTAATAAGAATTAACAATCGTATCTCAAATTGTATGGTGCGTCAGAAAGAGATTTAACACCTTGTAACGACTTCAAAAGAGAACTATTTCGGCGCTTTGGTCAACTTTGGTGCGAGGCAGCATCGTTTTTTTTTTTTTTATTGCGCATCGGACAAATTTTGCTATAAACACACCTGAGGCGATGATTTGCATAAACGGCAAAAGCGTAGCGAGATATTAGCATACGCCTCGAAAAACTTATGGTGCGTTACCCCGGGCGTTCGGCAAAGTAGCAGTTAAGTTATTAGCATAGAGCCACCGGTTAAAGCGATCGGGAAAATCGCGGCGAGATACCGGTCCGATAGAAAGTGCAACTTTAAAAAAGTCATAACACGGCCCGTTATGCCGGCAAAAATCACTTAAAATCCGTTCGAGTAATGCGGCATCGCGAACGATGCATGCGTGCTCACATGTGCACGCCGTCAATGAGAGCACTTTTATCCCGAGACGGGATACGAAGATGAATTAGATAATTATTTGGGAAAACGGTGTTCAGAGAGAGATTCCGCTCGTTTGCTGCACGTCGTCGTATCCTTGACGGTTGATACAAGCTACCGGAACCTATCGGTTATCTGCAGTTATTGAATGATCGTAGGCGTCAATTGTCATCCACGGTGAGCGCGCTTTGCAAGCGAGAGCGCAACCGTAGTGCAAGCGAGAGGAAAGTTTATATAAACGACGTCAATATATTCTATGTATGTACGACAGACGGGACAAGATGTTCGTATCTTATAGCTTATATTGAGGTTTTATCAATTTAGTTTATTTGTTCGTGATATCTCGAGAAAGGAGAGTTACGCAATATAGATAGAATATATCGCCAAGGTTTTATCGTGTGTGTGATAACGTCTCTCGGAAGTGATACGTGTCAAATAGAAAATAAGAGAGAATTCTAAAAGTCTTTTGAATTTTCAGATTTTTTTTTGTTGTGGTCAATATACTTCTGGCGTGACGTAATCACTGTAGCGAACAGGTCGTTGCACGCACGTGTAGAATGACACGACAAAAGAACAAACATCGAGATCGTAAACGATCTCTGGAGCGCGCAATAAAGATCGCGGGTGGTGTATCAAGTGGTATGAGGCGAAAAAGAAGCACCTGAACACAACCTCCGGCTCGATTAAGAAGTTTTATGAGCGCTGATGAGATCCGATAACGAACCCAGAACTCTCGTCGCTCCAGTTATACGGAAGCGCAATGCGCTATACTGCGCACGAATGCGGTGCGGCATTACGTGCATCCGGAGGGGCAGCAGGCCTTATAGAACGTATGAAATTATATTAGGTCTGCTGTATCAAGTTGTGCTGTGCGTAGACGGAACGTACGATTTTAACGGTATGCATATATTTTGTGTGTGTATGTGTATGTGTGAATCATTCTTATAAATCAAACATGTTTCGGCGATTGACCTTTTGCGTTATTATTACTACGTCGTTGACGAATAATTTAACTCAGAAACGCTATTTTTTTTCGCGAACCGCAAACATTTCAGTCGCAAAGACGAACTTTAAATTAACGTCACATTCCAGTATTATATCACCTGCTTTAATCGATATAGAACAGAAGTGACTTATTTACATATAGTTGCAAACTATGCGGCTATTTAAAATTTATTAACTCGCAAATATCCGGTTCCGTTAACTGTTTGCATGCACGTTGTGCACGTTCGATAAAATTGCACTTCGTGAATTCGTGCGGTGCATATCGTGCAGCCAGTGGGCTTATTAATCGGTCTCCTCATAAGATGTAGCGGAATTTCCGCGGCTGAATAGCGCCGAATCGTGATTCATCGGGGCTTTCCCCGCGGTAAGATAAACGGCGAAATGGAGCAACAATATTTCCCACCGCAGAAATTTTTAATAAAATTTTGTTTACATACATCATCGACGATTTTTGATTTGTTTTATCTCTGTCGTAAATATCAATTCGCAATCAAAAACAAAAACCCGCTGGCAAATGTATTGTAAACATCGCACAGCATCTCCGTGGTAATAAATTTCTCCGTGAAATTTTACCGAGTTTTATGCCTCTGAAGCGCGATTTCGGCTGTCGCGGGATCTTAAATCGGGTCCGAGAGGAACGGTCCGGACAGGTAGTCCATAAAGTTCGGACTCGCGGGGGTAGGAGGACCGGAGAGAGGTTTCCCCCGAGAGAGCGCCGACGATGGAATGCGAAAGCGTGGGTTCGGTTCGGCCGTAACGCGATCTCGATATACGGCAAAGAACGCGAGGTGGTCCGAGAGATGGTCGGGAGAGCTTCGGGGCCTCTACGTACGCATGTGTAACGGTACTCCTTGCGATCGCAACGATCCCGATCGCCTCTCTTCGTAACGCGCGCTCTCGATCGTCTCGCGTCGTTGTGTGTGTATAAAAGTTTTCGCCGTCGCGCGCACAGTGCGAGAGAGAGAGAGAGAGAGAAAGAGAGAGAGAGCGCGTCTCGCGCCTTAGCGGAGCTGGAAAGTGAACGAGAGCGTCGTCGTCATCAGCGGCGTCTGCGTTGCACCTTCGCCATCCTCGCGGGACGGCCGAAGAGGAAAGAGGATCGTGAACTTTCTCTCGATTCCGAAACTGTACCGCCTCGTATACATGGTGAATCGCCAATTAAATCGCGCACAAACCCGTTTCATCTCGATCAAATTCAACTCTTACAGAAGATAACGCGATGAATGAATCGATAAGAATTTGTTCTTCGATGAGTTTCAAGGCAAATTTCTTTTAAAGAATTTATTGCAATAACTCTAGTCGGTGCATTGAATCTTGGCGGTGCATTGAATTGTTTAAAGGGGAAATTGAAATGAAATCCTCCTTCCCTCCGAAAGGCAAGTTGCCTAGCTACTCCCAAGACTGAATACAATGATAACTGACTTAACTGGAGTGGATAGAACGTCGGGATCCGAGGTATAAATAGCCGCCACCACTTACCGTCAATTCAAAGCGAGCGCAAGACTGTAGTTCCTCTGTACAAACGTATCTCACGCAGGGCATAACGAAGTAGCCACTCGTAACAGCGAAAAAACGTTCTTCAAGAGTCAAAACGTGTTTTGCTCCGCAGTAAAACGCTAGATTAGCCTGTTAATTAACATAGGCGATCGTGTGTAAAACGCTGAGTTAAGCTGAAAGCTCAAAGCGAAGCGTAGGCAACTTTTCTCCCGATTCGCAATGTACAATCTTTTGAATCCGTCTGAAGATAGCATCCAACGCTATTATGTCGAAGTGTGTGTGCGTGCGCGCACAGTAATATCGCAGCGTTAAATATATATACAGGGTGTCCCAGAATGGCCGTACAATCTCTCGTAGGCAGGTAGAAGGAGTAAAACTGAATCGAAAAGTCTTATACCATTTTGCTAGATTCGCAATAGTTACTGAGATTTTAATTAACAAAGATCCGCGAATAAGCGTGTATCGGGCTGTCTTACGCGCGTAAGACTGCCCGCCGCGCTTCGCGCGCTAACAGTGTTACCCATAGCGACATATGGGAGGAGCTAATATAACAGCATATACTATAACATATACTTATTAAAATGTAATTGTGTGAAGCGCGCCGGGCTGTNGATGCACGCTTATTCGCGGATCTTTGTTAATTAAAATCTCAGTAACTATTGCAAATCTAGCAAAATGGTATAAGACTTTTTGACTCAGTTTTACTCCTTCTACCTGCCTACGAGAGATTGTACGGCCATTCTGGGACACCCTGTATATATAAAAAATAACACGTTTATTAGATTTATATTATAAAATCAGACGCGCGTGTGAAATTTAAAGGAATGTGATACCACCGAGAGAGAGAGAGAGAGAGCCACGACCCACGATTACGGAAGAATTTTATTAATCGTTTCTAATTTGTTTCGCGGCACGAACAGAAGAGAATTTTGCGCTGAGAGAGCAGAGAGAAAAAGAGTCTCGGCATATCCAGACGCGGCGAACGATAATTGCCCTTCGTCGCGCGCGTCAAAACTGGTAGCGGCTCGCGAGCTGCGTGGAATTGAACGTCGTTTTTAAACGTCGCGTGCATGTACAAGCTAGATTCGAATCGCACGCGAAGGCTATGTGCAACGTACGCGTGAATCGACGTCATTGTGGAATGACAGAGTTATTTCAATATCGGGATTGTTGTAACAGAGCCCCGCCCTTTTGGCACATCACTTTATGAGTTGATTGATCAACGTGTAAACATAAAAATTATAAACGACCCTAGTCATATTTATCTCATTAATTCTTGTTTGTTCGAACTCACTCGGCCAATTGGATGTTGTCTATACGGAGTTCTCTGTTATTTTTATCGCACCGACCGTTTTGTCTCTCCCGAGCCGAGATATTTGGGTTCGTATCTAGCGCGAACGATATATCGATCGATGACTCAGAGACATCACTGCGTGATACGCTCGATTTGTCAGCGCTAATGATACAACGTAAGGCAAAGCTAGTGATCATGCTCGGACGAGCTTTATAGGCTCCGAAGAAGTCGTCGTCGTCGTCGTCGTCTCGACGCTTCGTTAGCGGGTGGAGTTATTAAGTGCCTCCTCGTTAACGACACAGAACGATCGTTAACGCGGTAGGGAGCTGCGCGCCGGAACATTAACTATTACCGCAATGTATCGATACGTAAATCTATAACTCTCGCGCGTGAACGAAATTATTTCGTGTGTATCGGGAACATTTTCGTGGAATTAGAAAAAATCGCGCGAATATGCGATACACTTTTTTACCTATTTCGATCGCGCGCGCCTCGATCACTAAAATAGTCACTCCGAAGCACGTTTTAATTGCTTGCAATTATCTCTCGTATATGTCTGTGTGTGTGTGTAATTACGTGGGTGATACAATAATTCATTTCTTTCAGCACGCTCGTTAAAATACCGTGACTAATGCCAGTTTCTCGCTCTTTTGCGCCAACCTATTTTCTACGATTAACAGCGATATCGAAGACAGTGGCTGATCGATATATTACGCGTAATGCGCGCAACGTTCATAAAACTCGTTTAAGATCGCGCGTAGCGGATCGCTTTATTCTCGCACGGTCAATGCTACGTCGAGACTTAAAACAAAGATGATATCTCGAAGCCGTGCGCTCTGGCTTCGTTTTTTTTTTTTTTTTTTAACCAACCTTGACCGTTGGAGTGATTCTGTTGTGGCGATTGAGGTTGGCCCTGCGTAAGTATAATTTGACTCTCGAGCTGCTGGAGCTCCGCCTGGAGCTCGTTCAGCTTGCTGTTCGCCTTCTTCACGATCGTTGCAACATCAGAAAGCGACTTGCGATCGGTCGCGACCTCTCTCAGCTTCTCCGCGCCGGCCTTTATTTTCAGCTCCTGCAAAAAAAGAAACCAAAAATTCGTAAAATTCGCGCGAATTCCGTGAGTCCAAAAGCCGAACAGTTTCGGCGCCGAAGTCGTCTCGCACAAAAGTTCGGAACTTTGTTTTCGCGGAATTTAACTGCATAACGTTTATTACGAGAGACCGGCTCGCTTAAAGCGCATCAACCGTCCGATCGCGCCGCTCCTTCGTATAGCAAATGAGACGTAAAATAACACACGTGCCCAATAATACCCTTTGGTATATCCCTCGGTATTCCATTAACAGACGTTGCGTAATCGCCGTGTATTTTCGCAACGAATCAACGCGGACAGGATTTTCAATTTCTAAATTTAAGACACACTTTGTGCGTGAGACACACGATCTCTCCGACTCTTTGTATTAAAATATATCGAGTAGAACAAAATAGAGAGTTGTTTGTAAAAAGATGAAATTGTTGCAGAAAAAGATATGTTATTCAATAAAAAGATATATAGAGAGAGAGAGAGTAAAAAAAACTGCTATCGCATGTGTATAGCGTGAAAAATTGCTCGACTTCTGAGACGTTTATGTATTTGCATCCCATTTCCGCGCTGCAATTGACGTCGGCAATTGACTCACCGTTTGCAGTAAAATGCTCCGGCAACAAGCATTTATGAAAATGCGACGCGTTAAGAAACCAATCGTATTATATATTATTAGACACGGCTCTGTTTCGCAGCGGACCTATTAGCAGAGTAGGCACCGGTTAGACTACGTACGAGTTGTCTCGTAAAGGCGTTTAGTAAGTACCGAGAGATGGAACAAGAGAAAGGAGAAGGAAAGAAAAGAGAGAGAGAAAATGAGAAAGAGAGTTGTGTATCGCCGTATAGCGGACACGAAACTCGTTTCTACGCGAGTCGCAGAAATGTTTCTCGGACCACCCTCAAGTTTCCATTCGCACACAGCGTGATTTAGAACACGCGGTCGGCGCGTCTGGAAACCATAGATCATCGATCGCTTATTGCGAGAGATGCACAAACGTTTATAAGATGCGCGCGAGCACACGCGCGAAAAACTTTAATCGCGCGCAGACGATTAAGTCGGCGAAAAGTTTCCCACAGTCTTGCAAGTCTCTCGAGATATATATCGCGAGATCGTTGCAAAATCTACTTCTCAAATCGATTATGGAATCAGTCCAAATTGAAGTTTATAAAGATCTTACAAAGAATACGTTCTATATCTTTCTTCACCTTGGTATGGTGGATTGTTAACCGCGTCTCTCGATAAATCTATCCATTATTCAAGTTGAAAGAAAAACAAATCAAATTGTTGATCGAAATTTTCTCTCCGCTTGTTCCATTATCTAGCGTGAGTTGTACGAAATTGTGTGTCTTGTAATTCAAGTTAAAAAAAAAAAAAAAAAAAAAACATCAGGTAGAAAGAATACAAAGTTTGAGCAAGGAGGAATTGTCTTTGTATCAAAGTAGAAAAACATGTTAGATTTGAAAGAAAGAGAGAAAGGAAAGAGACAACAAAAGATGCAAAGTGCTGACTAGCGCTACCGCGTACGTACTCGGACGAAGAAGAGCTTCGTGGAAGCTCCGTTGTTTGGCGGATAAGCGAAACTCGACATACCTTGCGTATTTCTCGACGTATATGCTCCCGTAGCACGTCGAGACGAGCCGGTAAAGGCACCTGGTCACTGCCGGCCACTCCATATTTGCTTGACAGTTCGTAAAGAACCGGGTGTCTGATGTAATCGCCCTGAAACAGATTCCAAGTTCGATTCTGCGTTATTGACGATTGCGAGTGGACTTTGCGAGTGAACTTTGGCAAGGAACGAACGATAAAAGAGAAAGAGCGAATTGCGCGATTAATCATTCTCTAAATAAACATTTAAAAAACTGTTCTCTTGTTCTACGAGTCACTTCCTGTTCTACGCACTAAAGAGAAAGAGAGAGAGAGAGAGAGAGAGAGAGAGAGAGAGAGAGAAAGAGAGAGAAAGAGAGAAAAAGACATGCTGCATGAGATCTCTGTTGTTGAATTATTTCTCTATTTCCGTTCCAAATAAACCGAGCAAAATTTATTACGTTATCAATGATCAAACACTCTATTGTTTTAGTCTTCCGCGCGAATCGATCGCTTTTCGTAAATGTTAGAAGCGAGCTCGCGTTTAAAAAAAAAAAAAACCTCCCGGCACATAACAACAATCGCAACGCGATCTTGCTTGCGCGTCAGCGCGCGCCAGGGTTAAGACAACAAGACGAACCGGAAATCGCACCGTAAATATCGGATATATATTGTCGAGAAGCCGAGTGTGCCGAGAAAACATCGTGGAAAATACAACCGGAAATCGTGCGGTGTACGCGGCGCGGATATGCAACGCACCGTGCCGCGGCCTACTCTGTGAAATACGGATATAGACTCCTAGGCCAAACACAGAAACGCGACAAGGGGAAAGTATCGATCTCTCGCGTTGTATCGCGGATCTCGCGGCGCGATGCTACCACGAAAGCAACATTCGTGTCTATTGTGTGAATGAACGTCAATGGGTGTCAATCCGCGTGGCGATTCAATTAGTTCGCCTATTGAAAACACTCAAGGGTATTCGATTAGCTTCCATAACGGGCGCGCGTTGGTAACCCACTTCAAATCCAACCGATGAATTGCGCGATTGTCGTCTCAACAACTCCGAAACTAACGTGCCAGAAGCGACGATTAATTGTAGCGGCCAGGCAATACGGGGGAGAATTTGTTCAGCTTTTGACTAATTAATTTTCTACATAAGTATGATAATATTACGCGAATAATATTATACTTTTCTCTGAAGAGAGGCACACGTACCGCACACGGCGCGATGCAGCTCTGGAAATACTTCGAACTGGTCTCTTTGATCAACGGAACGCATCTGCTCGCGCCCGATTTCTTCTCCCGTCTCACCACACTGATAAATGACATTGTCGCTTCCGTGTGTGGAACGACGTTTTTTGCGTCCAAAACTTTGTCCAAAATATTTTCCTCGCTCAGCACGTCATCATCGCATTTGTTGAGAAACACGAGGCTACATATCGTAAGTGTTCAGTAACACGTCATCAGAATTCACATTGAGCAACAAACGTTTCCACGCGGTTAATCGCTACTGAAATGGCCGCGCTCAGCAAAACGAAGCGCCTTCTGTGCGATTAGACTGGATTTAAGGGCGAGGATCCAGCTCAAGGATTCCAAGCACAAAAATGTAAAGGCAAGAGTCTGTTAAAGCATCGCTAATCGCACGCGAAGCAGTTCATTCTGTTCATTTCTGTCGGTCGTAATCGCGCTGACACCGGAGCGATAATCTACAGAGCTGCCACAGGCAGCGCGAGGCAGGTAAATGTCAACCACCTGTTGCAGCAAAAATCTACAATATCACGTCTGCACTCTCTGTATTTTCCACAATTATGTGTTCCACGCTATCGTTCCTTCACATCGACCTAACTGTAAAAAACCAAAAAAAAAAAAAAAAAAAAAAAACCAAAAAAAAAAACAACCTTGTTCATGCGCAAAGAACGAGTCACCGTTTCGTCGAATTTGAAAATTAGAACTGACTAAGAGAAAGCTTTGACGTTCGTTATCTCTTATCAGCGAATGCCGATAACAGCGATATTCAACTGCAAAAATTCGTACTTATCATTTTCTTACGATACTTGTTATTAAAAAAAAGAGGGGCTAACAATCGCGACAAAAATAATCGATTATTTTTTTTTTTTTTTGTGCAAAGTACGCAACTCATTGCCGTTGCAACTTGTTCTGCGTATTTAAGAGATATTTTGTGACGATTTTGTGTTTACTTACTAAATAAGTTAAGCACATCAATCAATTTTTCATAAGTTTCTGTATATTTTTTATTTACTTCATTTTTTTCAGCAACATATATTCAATTTGCGTCGTCAGCATATTTATGCACTTGTACGTTTGTGTCGACTAGATTACGCAAAAAATAAAAAAAAAAAAACGCGTCAAACCTATCCAAACAGCGTGACTAGTAAAATGTTCGCATCAACAGTTTGCACTTGTACGCAAAATCGCGACATCTCATTAACAATTCGACGTGTGTGAGTTACGCAGTTCGCGTGTGTTGCCAGAAGAGAAGGAAGCACGACGAAAACTTTGAACGTCTTCGAGAACGAAAGTACATCTGGATGTTAATTTAGAGCCGCCCGAGAAGCCCGCAGGGAAAATATGCACGAAGCGTGCACGAGCTAACACAGTGACGCACGATCTATTTTCACACGTTCCACCACAACATTTGCGCACAACAATTCCAGGAGGTCAACAGACGTCGTCGCGCGACGTCACAGAATCCCTTTTCGCTCCCGAACGCGTACTTTTTTTTTTCCGCGCGAGGATTCGAGAATTATAAACCACCAGAGTTCTGACTCATGTAAGAGCGCGCGAGAGCTCTGTCCCGACTATAAGACAGAGAATTGTTTTTACTGATGCGAGCCTCCCAGGCGAGCTATTATACGCGTGTGTGAGCCACATCGTCAAATTTAGAAAATCGTCAATATCCGCGTGTGATAGCACTTCAAAATTATTTATCTATTACAAAAATAAACTCTTACAACACTCAACCACATTTGAAATTCAAATAAAATTCAACATATGCACTGCTAGCTGCCGTTTTACGTAATAATTAAAATTTATAAAGCATAAAAATGCGCAGGTAAAAAAATTTACAAAAAAAAAAAAAAAAAAGTAGGAAGGAAACATCACTACGATATTCTCACAGTCTTCGCGGTCTCGGTATTCCACTTATCGTAGGATTTGAAGAAGTGTTGTCAAGCATCCTAATCTCGGAGTCGACGGTCGGTTTGCGTTGAGCCCTTTATCGATAATGGAACTCGAAGTTGTATATATATATGTGTGTGTGTGTGTGTGTGTATTCAAGTTCGAAACAACGGTCCGACCGAGAACCGGTGTCTCTCGTTGCACCGATTCCACGGCCTCCTGATGACGCATTAAGCGGACTTGGGTTTGTAATAGCTCGCCATGCCGTCATAACATGTCGTAGATTCTGCACGAGTTTCTCGATGATCCACTTACGTCGCGACCGAGTCGAGACGTTCCTCGCGGATCGCTTTTATCCCTCTCGTCGGTAAACACTGCTCGAAAGAGCAGGTGTTGTTACCAGGAACCGACCGGTGCGAAAAGTCAGGGAGGACCGGTTACACCAACGCCGATTAACGCCAACTGACTTCACCTTCTCTCTGTCTGTACGTCAGTACAAACGGAAATAACCTACGAAACCAGTATCGTCGCGAGACAATCTGAAATTTTCGAATGCTGCGAATATATACAAGTGTTTTTTTTTTTTCATTATTTTTATTGATTCCAATCGACGAAAGAAGAAATTCTCGATTTCGCGAAAAGTATAAACTCAACGACAAAAAAATTTATCGACGTACACGCTAGAATTTTAACGAAGTTAATTAAAAAAAAATTAACTGACGTAACTTGATCGAACAAGCTTAGACACTTGTAATCACGATTGATTTCGTTTTCCGCCTTACACTGTAAATAGAGGCGTGATCTAGGAGACGAGCAAAACCGCTAAGCAGAGTCAATTAAACTAAACAGTCCTTGCAACAGAGTGCTCAACGGTTGCATCAACGTTGGTTAACCCTCGTTAACCGAGTGTTTTCTTTCTGTATTTATGCTCGCACACAAGTAACAGCGTGATAATCTGGAAGTGAACAGCAAATCGCACGCGGAGTCAATTAACCCAGACGGTCGATGGTGGTACCCGTCGGAGCCGCGAGTGAGAAATCGGATGCGTATCAGGTGTGCACGACTCGTCACGCCTGGTTTGCCGCGACCGAGAGCTCGCTCTCGTCGTGATCCGAACGAAAAAAAAATAAAAAATAAAAACGGCGCTGATTCTCTCCCCGTCATCGGATGGGAAAGCCCTGCGGGCTTCCCCTTTCGGGGCTACAAGTGCATGTGCGTCACGAACGAACGAGCAAGGACTGCGTGAAGGTGGGAACGCGTTCAGGGACGGGACGTCCTGTAACGCGGATCGTGTCCAGGAGAAGTGCTCGATTATGGCGTCCGACGTGTCTGGGATAAACGCGCGTTCGTTCGGAGCACGCGCGCTAGTTCGCAAAGAGAGCGTGGATGGGAGAGAGTCGCGGCGAGAGACTCACCTGATAATAGCTCGATTCCGCCATCTTGCTCTCGCACTCTGTACGCGCTTCTTCCACTCACTCACTCACTACTGTCGCTGCTTTCTATCCGTCCTTTGTGCGCGTCGACGAGCCGACAAGAGGTGGTCCATGATGCGTTTGATCGCACGCCGAAATTTATACTTTTATTGCGCGCGTCGCGTCGGCGCCGTGTTCGCCGCCGTACGGCGCCGCATTTTAGCGTACGCGAATAGGTGTAACACGATGATCTCCGTTTACGCGCAGACCGATAATCGATGGGAGATAACGTTTATTCGACGATCTCGCTACTGAAAGTGGCTGAAGCCGTCGCCGCTGACGTCGCGCACGGTGAGTCGCGCACTACTACACAGACAGGATGAATGAAAGACGCGACGTTCGCGAACAAAATGCGAACACAACCACATTCCGCCGCACCGGACTGGCGACTGACTCAAAACATCGGGCCAATCGCCGCGCGCACTGGCCCTTCGCGGCCGCGAATGACGCGACCCGCGAAGCCAATCGGCATCCGTTATCATCCGCGCTCCAGAACCGTTCGCCAATCGCGATTATCGGCGGCACGAGATGTTAAATACAAATCAATTGGACCGCGTTCACAGCGAAACGGACGTTTCTTCCCCGATGGGAGAAAAAATTACAGCATTATTTATTGAATATTAGAAATAGAAATTTTCTAGTCCATCCGTTGAATGTGAATCCGTTTTAGAGGAGATTCTGGAAAGAAGAACTGTTAAAAAAAAACTTATTAATTATATAAAGATAAGTTATATTTGCGTGAACTGTATCTCGACAACTTGAAAATATATTTCGTATATGTAAATGCTCCGATATTTACTCTAACATGATTAATTATTATTTATTAATTATGTACATATTATATTCATAAAATACACGACAGAAGTTTACAAATATGTAAATTATTGAGAAATTAATTTTTGAAGTAATTCCTCGGGCGACCTAGAAAACAGACCGCTGGGATTTTGATATAAATTTTTCGGATCGTGACAGGCATCGTATAACTGCTTGTATATAGCTCCGATTACTTCAAACGATCGTTTCTGAGTAATCGTGCGATGATTATTGCTTTGCAACAAACTTATTTGTGGCAGCAACAAGACATCTGGCATCACCAGGAATGCTTCTAATTTATTCTGCAAAGATAGATTAATATATATTTTAATATCGCAATTCATATCGTTTTTTGTTTTATAAATTTACTTTTAGTCGCACTTACAGTGAATTCTTTTACACTAAGAGCGTCCATACCAGGTATGGATGAGAGCGGACCCTGCTCGCGTCCTTGTAAAATAGTGTAAATCGAGCCTAGATTTAAATGCGCTACCAAAGAACTAGCTTGCTCCGATGTAAGCGTGTCGATTTGAGCATCCGATTGTGCCTTGAGATTATAATCGTTTCCATTACAATACAAGAAATGATAAAACTTTATAGGTATGTGTCTCTCTCCCCCCCCCAAATAAAATTGAACATAAGAGTTTACTGTATTAAAATTATGTCAGTCCTAATGAGTCTAACTCAGATAAAAACTAACCAATCACCTGTAACCTCTCTAATCTCTGATCCATATACTCGTACAATGCTAATGTCGATTGTATTTGATGCATACAATTGAGAAGATAAACAGCCATATCTACAGTTGGCAATCGAGATGCTGTTTCATTAACTTCTTGAAGTAGTGGATCGATGATGCACGATACAATCTATCGATTATGAAATAATATGTAGTAACTTAGATAGTACGCAGCAATGAAATATGATTTTTTTTTTCTGAATATACCTGCAACATGTCTTTTTCCCTGTCTTCAGCTATACTAGCGACAGACAGTATTTCATTCAACAGTGATAATAATCTAGAAACAGACGGAGCAGGAACCAAATCGCTGCCAGGAGGTTCTGCTCGTTCGCCAAGAGCGATTCTCGTTTCTCTCTGCAATCTGCTTAGAAAACTTTTTTCGCTTAAGATTAATAAATCTAACAGTGTCTGATCCAGAACACTGTCAGGTATAACTTGTTCAGTGATAGCGCGATAAAATCTGATCAGCGTTGTAATTGAATATAATACTGTTGCTGGTGCTTCTGTAGTTATGACATGTTCTATTCTTGATTTTAAAGGATGACACAATCCTTCTGTAATGTTACTTAACGCCTGTTTTACTTGATCCGACACATCTGTAAACAATACATTGAATATATTCAAGTATTTCAACACTATTCGACTTGAAAGGAAGACAAATGATTTCTATTTATGCGTACCTGTTTTATCACAGCCTTTCACCAGGGTGATAATGTTTTCTTTCTCTACAGGAATTACTTGATGCAACCACGCAAGCATATCCCCAACGTAACGCTTGGGATCGTTAGCATGCATCTCTATAGGATTAGGTGTTCCACCAAAAACTTCGCCTAATGTTAACGCATCTATGAAAGAACCCACTAAAGTAGTTCTCCTAACTGAACAATACTCATCTAGAATGTATCTAAAAATATTCAAAAATATCAAATTATTTTAAACAGCTATATTGCACTTTGAAAACAATAATTGTAATTGACTTTTAGTCATCTTACTTAAATAATACTGGTCTATCTTGTAACTTATTCATAGCTTTAATGAGTAACGGTGCCAAACACTCATTTTCTATGTTTTTGCACTGTGTTTGCGTCCACCGATATAATCTTTCAAGCGCAGCTTCTTGCAATAATGTCATTCTTTGCATTATATCCAAGGCCAATGTCTGATAACCAGATTGCATGAGTACTCTACATTTACCATGAATATCCTAGATTCCAACAAAATTACAATGACAGTTATAACCATTGTTCACTAACAATGACAAATAACTTAATGTATTACCTGTACTTTATTAACTACAGCAAAAAACTCTTCCGTTATAGGGGATTCTCTGGATGATCCATGCAGAACAGTTAGTTCTGATGGAGTAAGTTGAAAGTTTTTAATAAATGCACTTGCAACCTCCTGTTGCATGGACAATGTTTGACTGAAAATTAAAAAATCATACGTTTTTTTGCAACTGTATTTATTATGCTATTGCAACTATTGTAATTATTATGCTATTGTACTTATTACATTTATGACATACCTCTCATTCTGAAGTTTTGATGTCTGTTCTATGAGTTGAGACGTTTGAGCTTTTGTAACTTGCAAACGATTAGTCATAGATTGCACAGCAGTGTTCATTGCTAAAACATCTTGATAAACATCATCCAAAGAAGCCTTCACTTCTTTAAAAGCAGCTAGAAATTCTTCGTTTATTGCCAAACTTCTTCTCTCTATTTTACTGCGCAAGTTTCGACGAGAATTCAATGTGTTTTCTGTGAAAAATGTTGACAGCTCCTTTAAAGCTTCCAATGTATCCTAAAATACGTTATTAAAATCTCTATTATTATACATATTATATTATTTTTACTTCGCGTAGTTGATTGGTTATCGAGATCACGTAGTATATAAAAAAATATTTCATTTTTTTTGTGACTCTTTGCAAGAAAAAAAATTCACTACCAAAAGAAAAATTCATACACCATTGTTTCATTTTATAATGCGCACCTTATCGTGTTCTACTCTGGATTCCAACAGTTTATTAACTCTCCGCACTAAAGCGGAGTTGATGTTTTTTTCACTCATCGCGAAAGTAAATTTTGTGATTTTTTTTTTTTCTGTTTAATGAGCCGTCAGCCTCCACAGGTGGATCTTGAAGTTTACGTTGAACACATAACCTGAATCGACACCAATACTCCGGTCATAGCGTTATAGAAATGTTTCCAAGCAACATTCTATCTTTATCTACATTCAATGAAAAAGAAAAATAGAATGATGTTCCAGAGCATGTGTATGTCTATGTTTGCCAAGTCGTGTGATCACACGTCACGATCAACAGTCACGTAATGTAAAGGTTGCGTTTCATTATATGCTATCAATGAAAAATAGTTTATTTACTGTCAATAATAGTTCGCGTGACATGTACTATAAGTTTCTGGTACTGGCAATCAATTTTGAAACGCATCTGATGACAGATGAGAAAACATGACGTATCACATTTTGGAAAATAAATAAATCTGATTGACAGAGACAAGCACCAATCACAAACGATTGTTGATTTGAAACAAAATTTAAAAAATGTTATAAAACTATGAATTTTGTTATATCTTCCCAAGAAAGTAAAAAAGAAATCTCTTTTTTCACGAATTATTTTGGAAGGAATATGAACGCAACAAGGCTTCACAATTCAATACAATTCTGTGCTAGAAATAGCCAATGACATTTCATTTGGTATTTCCACTTGCACATTACCGCAAATATATAACACAAATATAATACGCATGTATATATATGTATATACATACAGAGTCCAAACAATATGTACAAGCGAGCACGACGTGATTCCTCATTAAAAAATAAGGAAAAGAAATATAAAATAAAAATTTTTTAATTTTGGCCTAGTGTTCTCGAGAAAATTTGTTTGCAAACTCGATACGCGCGTTGTACGTCGTTCGACAAACTGTAACAACGTACGTACGCAACGGATTTTCAAACTCGATTTTCCTGAAAACTAAGTTGAAAATTAAAAAAACTTTTTTCTATATTTTTCTCTTATTTTTTCGTGAGAAAATCACGTTTCCGCTTGTATATATTATTCGGCCAGACCTTATATATATATACATATATATACATACACACACACATATATATATATATATATAAATTCAGAATAAAAATAGTATTTTTATTTAATTAAAGTAAACGCGACAATATATGATTTATTTCAAATTATTGCAATTGGAATTTCAATGGTGTCAATTATATTTAATAGTAGTCGTCTGGCTCTATTAAAGCAATTGAGAAAAATTAGGGGATGTAAATAGGACATATCGATATTTGTGTGATTCGATAAATTGTCGCGCGAGAGAGGGTAAGACGCTATATGTAACGTCCTGTACAAGCCAACATCGATGGCCACCACCATCGCTTTGCTACTCGATTCGCTCAGTAGTCTGATGCGTTTAGCAGCGTTTGGATTGATTTAATAATTGATTGTATGTATAGATGCGACTGTTTCAATGAATTAGAATAAACATGCGGTGGCTGATACGACTGTGTATTCTCACAATCTTGCTGTTGCATAGTATAGAGGCGAATAGCGATGAAGTGCCATTAACCAAAATTGGCGCAAAAACAGGACCGATTTTAAGATTCTCTTATTGGTAAGATCTGCTTGTTGATTTTACAGATAAATATAACAGTTGTAAATCTTTAAAATTGTCTATAAGATAATAGGATAGAATACATAACGATCGTTTGCTATTATACATTGTTTATAGACTTAACAAAAAGACTTGCTAGGCTTCTTTTTGAAATCATTTTACAAACTATTATTTTTCTTTGGATTATTTTGTTATCATTGTACATATATGATAAGATAGACTTATTTATGGTTTCTGTTGCATTACAGCTACTCGTGTGGCTACAGAAAAGCATTTGAACAATATGTTAATATTCTTAAAGAAAAATATCCAGAACTGCAAGTCGAAGGAGAAAATTTTGATCCACCAGGTTATAATATGTATATAGCAAAAGTATTGGTAAGTAAATGTCATTGTTCTCAATCAATTTTTTTTTATGTAGTACATACTTATATAGTACATATATTTATTTTTTACATATATTAAGTGTGTAAATTAATTCAGTGTCTTTTTTGACACATTTCAAACTTTATTTATGGATTATGAATACAATATTAAGTATCAAAATAATTCTTCATTATTCTTCATCATTTTCTATAGTTCTTTAGTTCACTTTTTGGACAATCATTGGATTTCTTCACAGAAAACATGTGGCGGTTTTGATTCAATGAAATCATCAATTTTCACATCTTCGATCTTCATATCTTTGATATATAGTTTTAGACTGCATGATGCTGGAGAGGCTGGAACAAATAAAAATCAGATGGAGCTAAGTCTAGAAAATACACTGGGTGTGACTTTCCAACTGAGATAAAAAAATGATATCTTTTGTCTGCTTTGCAACATGAGGTCAAACATTGTCATGAAGCAAAATTACCTTTGTCCTTTCTTTCCTTATGACTTTTTGTGCTCCAACTCATTGCTTGATCAGGTGTTGCTTATAACGATCAACTGTGATTGTTTTGCCAGGTTCTAATAGTTATTATTTTCATACAATACAAAACTTTACTCCACCAAATGCATGACAAAACTTTTTTGGCGTGGATGTTTAATTTTGCTGTCAAAATTGATGGTTGTCTAAGATCTCATGATTTTCCTCGGTTAGGGTTATCATACAAGATCCACTTTTGTTCTCGTTAATAATTTGATGCAAAAAATATTTCTTTTTGAAACAAAGACGGTTGTTTTGCAAGCTGTTTTTGTGTTTGATTTTTATCTAACACAAACTTCTTATTCAACGTCCTTAAATTTCTTTGGTTAATCGGATCGAAGCTCGTCATATAAATCAAAATTTCTTTCTTTAAACCTATATGTAAAATTACTTTTTACATATTTGGTTCACTATATTCTTGTTTAAAGCCAAACAAATTCAAGCTGCTTCAGGATTATTTTTTTTTTAACTGAAACGCAAAGATGTAGTGCCTAATATGTGTTTCATTAGCCATTATAAACACACCTGATTTGTAAGTTTGTATTGGTCATACAATTCGTTTTATAAATAGTTTCTTTTTAAAAACTGCCATAAGATGAGAAATAGTTTTGGATTTAAAATACAAATGAGAGAGAAGAGCAGGTGAACATGAAGGCACCAAATTAATTTACACATTTAATATTTCATTTTTAAATAAATTTTTAAAAAATAAACTCGTTTAGAGAACATTAAAAATATTTTTAAATAAATGTATTTAGGGGACATTAAAAATAGTAGTGCTGATTTTAATTGTAAGTGGAGTTAACATTGGACTGCCGCTAAATTTGACACCAATATGGCAGTGGTGCATAAATAATCGCTTTTATTCATGTGTACTGATTTTCTTCACTTGTAATGCCATAGAAGCACAATTAATTTCGTCAGGTGCATTTGAAATACATTTTAATGGTAAGTATAATAGATATAAATTCTTCATTGATAGAATAAATATAAATATATATATTGATAGAATGGATATAAATTCTGCATAATACTACTGTATAATTTATATTGAATATTTAATTTTGCATTTGTGGTGTATTTTTTTTAGATGTTCCTGTTTGGTCAAAGCTTGAAACTGGCAGGATACCACAGCCACTTGAATTATTCCAAATAATCGATTTTCACTTAGATATGCAGTTCTCAGAAATGGATGTAGGAAAAATTAAGTTTCAATAATTAAAACATACACATGCAATTTCATTTTATATATGTAAAAATTCGATAAATTTAATTCTATATCAGTCAGGAAGAAGTTGCTAATGTGATGAAAATATGTACAATATACTTGCTAAGTATAAGATCTTTACTGTACATTTTATTATAGAAACAATTCCAATAAGAAGACTATGAACCTAAGATGTGATTGAAATAAAAATATTACAAAAATTTCTTATTATAAGATTTTTATTAATATATTTGCATGTTGCCAAAATTTTTCCCCCGGTAACATTATCTTCTACTCTCTATATATATATATATATATGTATATATATATTAGACCAGTCATTTTCTATCTTTACAGCAGAGATCTTGTAAATAATAGATACTCAAGATATTAAAATATCAAGATATGATTTCTCTATTGACTTCAGTGAACTGTTTTGGATGATTACTAATCAGAGGTCGTGCTTCATAAGTACAAATAGTTACACCATGCCTGCGCAATGGAGTCCATTCTCCTTTAAGACCAATATAATAAAGCTTGATATGCTCCATGTCTCTATCTCCAATGAAATAAAGACTTAAATGTTGTACCGATGAAAACTTGACTGGCCTGTAATAGAATTCATGTGTCTGAGTTTCAAATTGTTTTACATTTCTAATATATCTACATCGTATTTTAACATCTCAAATAAGTAATTCATATGTTGCTAGTTATATTACAATTATAAAAATAAAACATTCTATAAATCTTATAAATGCAATAAATATACTGTATAGTAAATTATATGATTTGTGTGTGTGTGTATTACTTCAAAGAATATTCATGGTGTCCACATGGATCACTAATTACTTCAAATTCCTCTTCTGGAGTAGTATTTACATGGTCAAATAACATGTGTGGCCGATTTTTGTATCTATAAATATATACTCACATTAGTAAAGCATTATTTTACTTTTTGTTCTACATTGTTGGTCTTATGGCCACAATTATACTTACAATTTTACTTTTTTGGGTAAGTAATTATTATCTCCAATTATAATAAGACCTTTTAATTTTACATTGCCTGTGAAACTGTAAAGAATAAAAAGAGATGCCATGTATAAGAATTTTTTTAAATAACAATAATATCTAAGTACTTACGGTATATTGAATAGAAGTTCAGGATCTATATCACTTTCAACATACTAAAAAATAAAATAAAATAAATATGTGTAATTTTATAGCAATTTTACTTAAAAAAATCACATTATGTTCTTTTAACTATATA